TTACCATGCACATTCCTGGCTGCCTTTATGCGCATTAGATACGAACTGCAGTTCGAGGCAATGAACGCCAAGGTCTACGCAGGAAGTTCGCAGTTTGCAGCGGAAGCCATCGACGCGTTTCGAACAGTTTCTTCGTTAACGATGGAGGACACCATCCTCGATCGATACACCCTACTCTTGCGGGAACAACAAAAGAAGGCTTTCCGGACGGCGAGATATGCAACTTTGGTCTTTGCTTTCTCAGATAGCGTGGAGTTGTGTGCGATGGCGCTCACTTTCTGGTTCGTATCACTCTCTGATGGCTACAATAGAATGTTACTGATGGTTACAGGTATGGTGGGCAGCTTCTTGCCTCCAGGGAATACCAACCGACCTCATTCTTCGTTATATTTATGGCGATCATCCAGGGTGGACAATCAGCCGGCCAATTCTTCAGCTTCGCATCCAACTTTGCTCAAGCCGCTGCGTCCGCGAACAGGATATTGAACTCGCGCCCGCAACCAGGGGAGCTCAGCGCCGGCAGCATCGAAAAGCAACAAGTCGTGCGTAGTGAGGACCGGACAGGGGCTAGTGTCGAGTTCCATGACGTCTCTTTTAGATACGCTTCACAGGATGTCCCTCTTTTCACAGGACTTAATGTCAGTATTCAGAGCGGACAGTTTGTCGCCTTCGTCGGACCATCCGGCTGCGGGAAAACCACTGTGATCTCACTCCTCGAGAGATTCTATAGTCCGTCGCAGGGCACCATCATTTTCAACGGCGAAGACATCCGTACTCTTGAAATGACATCCTATCGCAGGGCGCTATCGCTGGTCGCTCAGGAGCCACGCCTCTTCGAAGGCAGTATTCGCGAGAACATTACCCTTGGCCTCGACCAGTCCGAGTTCACCGAGGAGGAATTGATCCAAGCATGTAAAGACGCAGAGATCCATGATTTCATTACATCGCTTCCAGAAGGCTACGCCACCGAGCTCGGCATCAAAGCACAGACATCGCTCAGCGGTGGCCAGCGTCAAAGACTCTGTATTGCACGTGCATTGCTCCGGAAGCCGTCACTCCTGCTTCTGGACGAGGCAACCTCGAGTTTGGACTCGCAGTCAGAAAAGGTGGTGCAGGGCGCCATGGAACGTCTGGCCCGGAAGAGGAGCCTGACGATCGTTGCGGTTGCTCATCGACTGGCGACTATCCAGAAAGCGGATACTATCTTTGTCTTCGGGGCAGCCCACGCTGGCCAAGCGTCTCGGATCGTTGAACAGGGGACACACCAAGAACTGCTTCGGACTAAAGGGACGTATTGGCAGATGGTAAGTAGCCTTGGCCCTCAAGCGTAAAGCCTTACTAACTGTGTTATGTGTAGTGTCAGGAGCATGCGCTTGACAGGTGATCCCAATTCATATGCGACTGGATACCCTTAGCAGTATTTGCGGGGTGACCAGCTCGCTTTTCTCCCTTCCTGGGAGCTTTTTATTGTAATATAGACTACCACTCGATTCCTAATATCAAACCGTGAACTCTGGTTTACATTCCATCAGACATCTAACCCTCCCTCTATGCTACCTTCTGCCAATGCTGCCACTCATATTCAGCCAACTTAGTGACCGGCCATCATACTGATCATTCATCCTCATCCTCCCATCTGCCTCTTCACCCAGTGTCCATTGTTTCACACTACTCGTGCCAAACGGTGCTTGGGCTCAGGAGAAGGTCAAAATTTCCTATATAGGGAAGTGATACTGTCGCTGTCAGCCGATGTAACTATGTAAGCCCACAACCTGTCGCCTTAGCGCATCTAAAGGACCCCGCAGAGCCCTGCTCACCCCAATCATGGACATTTTCGTCTTGTTTTGTTGTTAGATTTGAAAGCTGTTCCATTTAGGGCTCCGGAATAAGCATGACAAGATTTGATCCCATCTGGACGAATTACTAATCTCTCGATTGACTACGGACTAGCAATACTACACCGCTAAAATGTCACCTCATCACCCACTGACAGTCAATATTAGGGTTTGCCTCCGTTGGAGTTCCAGTCTGTCTATCTACTTCTGCCTTTCGTCTCCTGAAAAAGGCGTAGATCTCTTGCTTTTCTAAATAACAGGACTGAAAGCCAGACCCTCAAGGTCATTGTACCCTGCGAGTCCTCGACTGGAACGGGTGTACCTCCGCCATGCACACCTTCTAGGCTACAGCCACAGAACATAAGTCTCCAGAGAAGCATGTAGGACAGGCTGTGCTAGATGGGGATGATACTGGTCCATCGCTACTGCAAGACTGGTCAAGCAAGCGCAAGGTGATGACTGTGCTCGTCTTGTCCTTGATCTCCCTGATGGTGTACGTCTCCCAATTCTGTGTCAGTACGCAAGGTTTACTAACGCAATCAGTAACATGCACCGGTTATCGATGCCCCTGCAAGTTCTGCCATTGCTCAGGACTTTGGAAACCATGACAGTTTTCGTTCTGTCATCTACATCACAGTACCGAACATCAGCTAGGTCATCTATCCCGTCTATGTCGGTCTGTTGTCTGAATGGCTTGGACGCATGCCAGTGTGTCACTTCTTTAACGCCTTGTTCCTTGTCTTTACCATAACTGCTGGCTTCAGTACCAGTCTCCTCATGGTCATTGTGTTCCAGTTCCTTAACAAGCATATCCTGGATCTGGAGTCCATTCCTCGGTGTCATATTATACTTACTGACCTGCTAGTTGAAATTCAATAGCCTTGGAATCGATACTCTGGCCAACATCTCAAGTCATGACGTAATAAAGAATGGCTACATCCCCGAAGACAGTAAAGTTTGAACCTCCAAGCAGGCTGTATCATCCTTGCGCAGGCAGTAGACCTGTCGTGTGATATCGCCCACTGAAGGCTGACCCTTCTTCAAGGTCAAATAAGTGACTATCTGGATGATCTATACCCCCGAGTATTCACAATCCGAATTGTCATAAACTAGATCAGCATGCTAGTTCATCTCACAGATGGTAGCAGTGATCCGTTGGATATAGGAAAGGTATCACGAGAGGGGAAGACCAAGCTGAATCATCCGAAATGGGTAACTGAGCAGGGCTTAAAGGTCTAACCAGTGTCGCAGCCTGTCGACTATGTCTCAGCAACTGTCGGGGCCATCATTTTCTGACAAAAGCACCCAATACCCGCATATGCATCATAATGCTCATGTCAAACATCTTCAGCATTTGGATTAGCCAAAGGCTCATTTTCTTCAAGATTGGACGGGTTGAAAGTCTGCCAACGATTTAGCCAACACTTAAAGTGAGTCCATTGTGTACGGGATGTCTTACTCGAGCGAAAAGTAACAGGCCGGTTTCAAGGGCACTTGGTGATATCCCTCGACTAGAAATATCGTATCTCGGCTGTAAAGCAGAAAATACTAGTTCGAACAAATTTGCTGAGTGTGGAGGATCAGGACGTTCGGACGAATGATTGGTCAAGCGGATTGGAAGGGACGATAGATCGTGATCTTCCGGACTGTCAGGTTGGCTATCATCTGCAGGCTCCCAATGATGTTCAGTACAAATCGACATGCGCGGATGAAAATGGATGGAGGTTGTACCGGACAAGTGATCTAGGTTTCGGTTCCACCATTGACGGATATGGTTTTTTTGGTTGACTATGAACCAAATTCCAGGGACACAAGCAACAAACAGAGCAAACAAAGCAATGGTTGCCTCTGTGGATAAGGCCATTCTCCTGTGGACTAGACTAGGCTGCTAAGATGAAGTCCTGTGAAAGAGTGGTAAAGAGAGTGATGAAGATGTCAATGATATAGAGAGAAGATCATGGAGCGGGGTCCCCATCTTGGGTTATATATTTCAATTGCCCATCTGGGTAATACCCAGATAAGGTGGCAGTGAAGAGCTGACCGCCGGAATTCCTATGCCATTGGCTAAAGCACCTGTACCTTAGAGGCTTACTTTGTCGGAGCGCGATCCTATTCGCCGAGCCGCCATCATGGATCAAATCGACTTGGAAAGACACTGCTGTGGCTCGGTGGGCCTCTTCTCATCAGTACTGAGGGATCGACGGGAAGTCATGTCAATGATCACTTTTATTGGTCCCTGCCAGAAACTATCCCATTTCCCGAAATGGCAGTGCGGAACAGCAGCCATGGCCAGTCAATAATTTCAAAAACGCTAGAACTGGGTTTACTTCCATTTGGCAGGATGGAAAGGTTCGAAACACCCCTGGAGGTGTTTGATGAACAGAGTATTGTCATTACTGTCTCCTGCTCGTGTGATAGTCTTGTAAAGATGTTGAGGTATATCATTTCAATCAATCAATGGATATTAGATGGAGAGATTTTGTGGTACTTCCGCACCATTTCAGAATAAGCAGTCTCCAGATGAGTGGAAGCGGGAGAGAAGGGAGTAATGGGGAGAAAAGGGGAGTAATATAGAGAAAAGAGGAGTAACAGGATCGGTGTGAAACCTCCTGCATACAACACGGCAGGAAAAGACATCCTATATATCTCAAACGTATAGTCACTGTTTAAGCTTCCTAAACATCATTAACATCTCCTTTACCTGCTCCTCTCCAAAGGCCTGAAACAAGGCTTGCCAGCCTGTTCTTCCTTAGCCATTGGATATATCTATGTTAAACCCCTGCTTTAGAAGTCATTCAACAGTTTACAGGTTTAATCTTACTCTTATCTATTGACAAAAAAAAAGGCACGTATAAAGTTGTGACTCTAGATCCATCCTAGACATTTAAATCTATACTATCAGTAATAAGCAAAGTTCTTTCAAATCATACGAAAGCTAATTATATAGCAAAGGGAGTGATTCTAAATATATTACGTAGGTCCAAGGCTAGCTCTACAAATATTACGCTGGTGGAATTTACTTTAATACAGTCTTAAGGTAATTCTATATTTAGTATTATTAATGGGATAACAGCAGAAGTATTTATATTATGCTTAAGGAGGAGTTAGCTAGGGCTACTATAATTTAAGATTTCTAGCCTTTAGGACCATGAAGTCATGGCGAAGTTAAAACAAGACCCGCCTGGCGGCATCAGTCCCACTTTTATCCCATCTCTGAGGTGCAGTCCGGTCCATCCACACTTTGAAACCGCCCTCAAAAGCAGGCCTCATTATCTGCGCATACTCCCAATAATCCGGGTACCATCCCGCCCATTCCCAGTCGAGAATACCCGTGACCGTGTTCTGTTCATCATTCATAATATTGCGAGGTACAATATCCGCATGCGTGAACACACAACAGTCAGAGCGTGGCAGCATATCAGGTAACTCGCGTTCGTATCGGCTGCCTCCAAAGTGAAGATAACGCTCGTATATGCGACTTCGCAGATCTGAATCGTTCATCAGGGGTCGGCCTGGCTCTTGCAGATCGTCAAACAGTTTGTCTCTAGAGAAAAGACCCATCGGCGAGGCATTGGAAAGAACCTTCGAGCTCTGATGGACGCGGGATGGCACGTATCTTGGAAATCATGTCCCAGAGTTGTAGGCAGATGGACTCTTTGGTCTTCTCGTCCAGTGTATCCCACTTCTTTTCTAGACGGGTTCATGGAATAACAGTCATGCCGATCCTTCCATAGTCATTATCAAAGTGTGCGGAAATCACTTCGGGCACAGGGACGGATGTATGCTTAGATACAAGTCTCATTGCTTCGGCCTCAGGAGACCGGATTCCATGCCGGATTTTCCGACGATGGAGAAGTAATAATCAAGTACAAGCCTGGCCCACTGTTTGCCGAGAACGGTAATGACCTCTTCATCGGGGGGAAGCTTCAAGATGTCTTCGGGTTTTTCGAATGAAGGGCATGGGAGCAAGATGTTGCCTCTTTTGATGTATCTCTTCCCTTCTTGTAAATTTTGCGTCACAAATGGTATACCACCAGATGGATCGGTCATGGTGAAGTCTGATATGTTTGTACCCTCTCTGGGTGGAGGGGTGGGTGATAAGAGAAGTCCAAGTCTTTGTCCATCTCAAGGCTGAAAGGCGGTTAAGGGTCTGCTTCAATTGGTCGACATGGTTGCAGATGACGAGGGTAATAGGCATAACCTTCTAGGACCAAGAGATCTACTAGAAACACACTGATGTTTTTAACGAGCACAGGGACTTCTGAATAGAACTGTATCATTTGTCATATCTCATCGTGTTGTATCCATACCTGGTACTTTGTCCATACTTGCTTTTGTATCTCGTCCAGTGCAAAACGAGCTGCGCCAATTGCAGCCAGCCCAGAATCATACACTGTCCCTCCGATGATATCAATCTGGTCTCCAAGAGCTTGCTGGACTGCCTTCTTGATAAGGTGACCATCGTGACCGGCAGTCAAAATAATCAGCTTATCGATCCTTTGTGGGATTCCATCGTCCTTGTGCGTCTCATCCATGTGGTATTCTACTCACGTCAGCGAGACCCTCCATAGCTACCGGGGGAAGAAGATACTAGCCTCTCAATGCAGTCAAATGGGCCACGATGTTGTCCGCCAGGCTATCCACGTAAGCCTTCTCAACAACACGAATATCCTTCCACGTAAGCACGGCCTTGACCTCCTCAAAGTCCTGATACCCCCATCCTGTTAAATCAAGCGGCCATTCATCTTGATGTCTGTCACGTTCGCTGAGCTCCTTAGCCCCGGTATCCTCTGCAATGTTACCCATCATCAAACGAGCCTGCTTCACCCGCTCCCAAAGATCGCTCTCCCGCGCTCCAAGGGAGATCTGAAACCTGAGCGCTTCAGAGCCCTTGACCAAACGACTGGTCAAATGTCGATCAATGGACTGAGTGCCCCACTGATCCATAGGGAGGTATCCCTCTCTCATGCCAGCGCGTCTGTCAGTATTATACGTTCGCGAATCCAGGTAGAACTCCCCCAGATCCAGAACCAGGTATCGTATGTCGGGATTGTCGACCTGGGTCTCCTGGCTTTGATTAAACGTGGCGAGGACTGTCCGGGCCTGTGGTCCGCGCGAGAGGCTGATTTCAGCTTCCCAGCATGCTGTCCACACGAGATCGGCGAGAGTGCTGTTGAAAAACTGGGGGATAGCGACTGTCGCGGATTCAATGTCGATGTCGTGGTTATTCTGTGCTTGGGCTTTGAGCTCGGTGAAGACGGAGACAAACTCCGTCTTGATGTCGTCTAATGTTAGAGTTGTTGACGGGGAAGAGGAATAGTTGACTCCGAGAAACGCCATCATAGCATGCAATGTGGCCTTCACAGTTCCAGACGCTGCTTGAAAAACCGCCGACCCGGAAATGCTTTGTTGAACAGATAAAGGCACCAGATCATGAATCCTAGAAACAACCAGTTTTACTCCCGCCGCCACAGCTTCAGTAATCCGTGAGATCAGCGCAGCTCTCTCACCATACATGGCCGCTACATTATTCTGTACGTAGGCTTCCTGACGAAGGTGACGCATGTAGATGCCATACGTGTCATTCCGTCCGGGGGTAGCCTTGGCAATGATGGAGACATTATCAGATGCATGCGCATATGCGGCCGTTCTACTATCAGTAAGATACTGGCGATATAGTATGTGGGGCAAGGAGTACTGACATGACCTCGGGGCCGAAATCGATTCCAATGGCTTGGACGTCTCCACTGGCTTGTACTGGAAGTATAAGACAGTAGACAAGCGCCAGGATGGCGGCCAACCTCTGGAGGAAGTGCATGGGACGTCTTATTGATGTTCCCTTTTTCTGTGATATTGCAAAAGACCTTCTGTCGTAATATAATACTCTTATAAAAGTGCCAAGAGCTGCCAAGTTGATAAACCCCAAAGTTGGTCTGAAACATGACCAATAAACCCAGCCACAAGTCCTAAGCTAAGCAATAAAGGGATAGCGCGCTCTATTAAAAGCATCTGAGATTGTTCATGAACCAGAAATTCAGAATTCACTTTGGAATTTCTGTCAATAAACAGAGTATAACTACGCGCAATTAATGCAAACCAAGCCACGAGTAGGAATAAGTTTCAGATCAGGAAGTACATTTCTCAACTACAACGCACCTACATTTAAACTTTTATACTATCCACCCCCACTACTTCCCACAACATTCCATCCACAGTGGCCATGGCCAGTTCAAACCCAGAAGAAAGGAACAGCCTCCCTGCACCCCCTCCGCCCCCTCCACCATCAGATCCTCACTCAAAGATATCTCCCTACGTTCTGAAGCTCAGGAGCGCGCCTCCAGACTATTTCTACCAGTCCCCCAATAAAGCCAGAACACACCGATCCCTTCACTGCACCCACATGTCCTTACTTCTTCTACGGCACATTAACAGATCCGTTAATGATCTCGGAGATTCTCGAGCTGCCTGAGGAGCCAAAGCTGCGGCCTGCACATATTGTGAGGTACGAATGTAAAATGTGGGGTCAATATCCAGCTCTGCTCGATAGTCCGGGCTCGGTGGTTGAAGGCACAGCGTATCATGTTCGTGCTACGCAGGATGCAGAGAGGCTTGCTGCGTATGGGACGGGAAACTATCGTGCTGAGGATTGTCTTATCAGATATACAGATGGCAAGGAGCCGTCTGAGGATCTTGGCTACACATTTAAGTTTGATGGGGACCCCCGCGAGCTGAGCGAGGGCGAGGTTGACCTGAAGGTCTGGTTGAGACGGATGGGGAGACATGCTGCGGCGGATAAGTTGGACGCTGCTAAATGCGGGAAATAGAGGATAGACTTTATTCTTTGTCTTCTCAACTTTAATAATTATATTGTGCTAGCTTATCTCTTTGTCTAAACACTGTGTGGCTGAGGTTTCAGCCTGCTAGAGGTATAGCCGAACAGTGGGATGGGAATCTAGCTGAAGACTGGCTATATATGAAAAGAGGTAGAGGCTACATTGTACGTAAAAAGAACTCGTATTTCCTGTACACATCCGATATAAGACAGCGTCTTGCTTCAAATGGTGCCTGTAATCCAGCTGTCATCGCACTCCCTTCGCTATCGAGGACCAGTTTCGGCGTTAGCTGCATCGTCCAGATGTCAGGAGAAAGGGCCATACTAGCATCTGTTGCACCATCTGGTGAGACAGCGGATTCTTTGCACATCCACGGGCGGGCGAGGCATTCCTCGGCGGTCGCGCGTTTGTCCACATTTACAGTCAGCATGCCATCAATGAGATCTAGAGCAAGATCTCCCACATCATCCCAGTAAGGCGATGGATAATGATATTGACCCATGTTGATCTGTTGGGTGAGGGTATACGGGTTCTCTTCAGTGTGCAAGTTGTCAGAGAATGGGGGAAACCCGCACGAACAGATGTATAAGATCACGCCGGAAGACCACAGGTCCACCCCAAACCCGTATCGCCGGCTGCAAGACGGCTGGAGGACCTCCAGGGCCGCAGGACAGCGTGCTCTGTGAATGGAAGGGTAATGAGGACTGTGCTTGAAAGATTATGCCATGACAATACCATCTTTGAGAACGATATAAAGCGAAGTGGCAGTGAAGTTAATAGAGTTAATAGGGGATTCATGTTTGTACTCTATTTCAAGCCCATCAGGCTTAGTTTATGACTATCAGATTGTGCTGACATCATTTGACGTACAAGCAAAGTTGGCAGGCACATTGCGGCACGTCATTCGTATCACATGAAGGTAAAAAAAGCCAGTCAGCTCCTGGGCTCAATTATTCATTTTCGAGTTTTTGGTATTTCCGCATTTCACCATCCCCCAGAGTTCGTCATGGAAGATTTGTCTGTTTACCATCACGGTAATCTTTTACACACCCAGGAAAGGTTATCGAGCTATCGGCCAGGTGGATATCATCCCGTTTGCCTTGGCGATACATTCAAGAAAGGTCGCTACAAAATACAGCATAAGTTGGGTTGGGAGGCTTTTCCACTGTTTGGCTTGCAAACGACAGAGAGTGCGTTGCTCTACCAAACTATTTTTGTACGTCTTCATTAACGTATAAAAGGAATGACCAGTGGGTTTCACTGAAAATTTTGACGGCGGATAGCTCCCGGGGATCTCGAGAGCTTCGCAACTTACGACGCTTAGAAAAGCAATCACAACGCAGCTTGTCCTCCAAATATATTGTTCAGTTAGTCGACGCTTTTACTCATCAGGGACCTAACGGACTCCACCAGTGTCTTGTATTTGAGTTGCTTGGTCCTTCCGTCGATAAGGTTCTCACCGACTACTACGACTCTGAAGATACGCTTGAGACAGAAGATATCCTTCGGATGACGGAACAGCTTTTAGAAGCCATTCAGTTTATCCATGATGCTGGCATGGGACACGGAGGTGAGCCACACCCACATCTATACTCCTCTACACCTGGTTCGTTCTTGCCTTCAGGGTATGGTTTTAACGCGGTGGTAGATATAAGTGGGGGGAACATCGCCTTCAGTTGTAGCAACCTGTCGAATGTAGCGGAAGAGAATCTCTTTGAAGTCCTTGGGTTACCGGAGACCGAAGAATTGGTTCGCCTTGATGGCAAGCCACTGGACAACGGTTTACCGAAACACATGGTGAAAGCAGCCGAATGGGACGAGTGGGTGGATGAAGATGAGGAAGATCTTCGGGTCCTTGACCTTGGAGAGGGGTTCCTTCAAGGACATGAGCCTAAAAGCCTTTCTCAACCAGGTCAATTGCAGGCACCAGAGACGATTTTCGGGAACTCCTTTGACCACCGAGTCGACTTATGGCGTGCAGGCTGCATGGTAAGTAGCCTTATGCGGTCCGCAGGAAGATTGAACGTTAATTTTTTCAACGCAGATTTATTTGTTCGTATTCAGAAGATCGCCGTTCTGGTACCTTGACGACGATGGTGCCTTGGTTGAACAGATGGTCGGATTTGTGGAGAAGTTACCAGAGGTCTGGCAGCCAGCGTGGGACCGCATGCAGTTGAACTCGAAGCATCAGATACAACCGATGGAAGGTGAGTGAACACTATTCTGGTGGGCGCGATACAACCACATTTGCTGAGTTTATCCAAGATTGTCATCTATCGGAGCTAGAGAGAAGGTTTAATCAGAGGGTACATGATTCAAAACTTGCTTGTCTTGTTCCAGTTATTCGGGGGTTGATGAGATTTCTGCCATCGAGTCGTATGGAGGCATCCGAGGCACTAGATTTGTTGAGGTCAGGAGTACGGACAGAATCGGAATCCGACTCGAGTGATGCTGTATGTTAGGATTCACTTTTAGCCTAGCTCACGATTGTACGATTCTACATATCGAGGACGCACCCACCAATTACGTGTGGTCGGCTGTTTTGCTCTGGATGTTGTATTGTGGGCTGCAGCTGAGCTCTGTCAGATAGACCAACTACCTTCATCCTTATGCATGGATACGAGCCGTGTAGAAGTAATTTAGTCATAATAATACAACTATCAGCTCTCTCATGCATGGTTTACAGTGGCTGAGCTAAATAAGGGCATTCCATTGCTTGGCGCCCGCCACAACTATGGTAGATGCATGCTCATCCACCTTTTCTGAGCTTCCACAAGGTGTACAAGCGCATGATCGGACGCTCAGGCAGTGTTGCGAATACAGCCAGTTTATCACACAGTACTAATAGTAATGTAGAATGGCTGCTTGCCATTGAGAGCCCAGCTATCCGGCTTAAATGGGCATGTTGGACAATATAAAATCCTCTCTGACTCCTGGATGTTCCTGTTGTCTTGACCAAATTTGCTTTGCCGTGCAGTTCATAACTGCTCAAATATTATTATCCTAGAGAGTCCTATCCTTAAAAAAAACCAAACCCTCCATCACGATGAAGTTTTCGACCATTACGGCTGCCATTCTTTCTTCTGCCGTCCTGACAAGCCCAGGTGTCATAGCAGAAACGCTGAAGTATAATCCCGAGTATGACTACGCTCAAAATACTGCACTCTCCTTATTTTCCTGCTCAGACGGTGCAAATGGCCTCATGACAAGATACGGGGTGAATAACCTCCAACAACTGCGGAACAAGTTACAACCGGATACATATGTCGCTGCCTCGCCTGCTGTTACAAGGTGGAATGATCCAAACTGCGGGAGATGCTTTAGAGCAACGAACCCCAGCAATAATAAGGCATTGAACTTTGTGGTTATCGAACAAAACTCTGGCGTTGTGACTGGTGAAGACGGATTTCGTCTTCTGTCTCCCTCTGGAACAACTTCAGAGGGGACACTTACTGTGAACGTCGCAGAGCTGCCATCTCAGAGTTGCTGGAAATGAGTTAGGAAACAGATGTTCTCACTGTCGTCCTTCTATTGTTGTTACTGGAGGATTGGGGCAAGCCATATTCATGTTTGTTTTTCCTTCTGAATCCGGAGGCATGAAGGTGGTATATGTAATAAAATCATTACTAATGTATTCAAACCCTCCACCACTTCATCTGCTGGAGTTCATCATCCACGCAGTTTCCTCTTATAAGCAAGTACGTTCTTATTACTACTTCGAAGGCGTCCCATAAGTTTAGAAGTATTTTGGATCACTTTAAGTGTTCGCAGTGTCTTATTGGCCCAGAAGCCAGGCTTATATCATGTGACATCAGATTGACCCCTCTTGACCCAGATCGACAAGAAGGATCATCTTCCTCATCGAGCACCTTAATTAAACCTGCAAGATCATTATTCTTTCAGAATGGCTTCTACAGGGCCGAACAGTTCGCTCTCCCTCTCCACTCGCCTTCTCTGTTACTTGGGTCCTCCATCCGCCCTTCTGCTCATAGCCAGCACATCTCCAAAAACCGCCCTTCTCTCTCCTCTAAGTCTAGTTCCAACAGCCGTGTTCTACAAGAAATGGAGGAAACGCAGCAATGCCTCTCCCGCTCGACACGCGGAGCTAGAGCCACTCATCTGGACTTTCACCTTGAGCGGCACCCTCGGTTTAGCCGCCGCAGCGGCGGTCCAAATGGGCATTTGCCAAGCCGTCAGCGCTGCCCTCTTCTCCTCTGAGGAGCTACGCACAGAGTTCTGGACTGAGTTCGGTCGTACGACTATTGCCGAGTTAACAGAGGAGCAACTACTCCGCCGTGCCGAACTAGCTTCCTCGTGGCAGAACTGGGTTTTCAACGGCGCATTGACGTACGTTGCCGCTGGTCTAGTCGAGGAACTCCTGAAATATGTTCCGGTCATCTATGCGCGACGGAGAGACGCCAAGAAGAAACAACGCCGCGATAGGGCGTACATCGACTACGTCCTTGCCAGTGCATTAGGCTTCAGTGTCGTTGAGAACATCGGGTTTATTTATTCAGCCTGCGAGGGAGGCCGGGAGAGCTGGCCGAAATTATTGCTGACGTTCGTCGAGAGAGTGGTGTTGGGTCAACTGGGGCATCTTTCTGTGGCTTGTCTGACGGCGCTGCGGGCTACGCGGAGGGATTATCATGGGGACTCGTTAGGGCTGTGGGAAGTGATTGGGCCCGCGGTCTTGTTTCATGGGACGTATAATTTTGCGCTCATGAGTGTCAGTGCTATGGAGGGGAATGTGGGTTGGATTCATCCAAACGGACTGCGGAATTCGGTGTTGGTGCTCGGGTTGGTTTCGGGGATGATTGGGCTGGCTGTTCGGAAGGTGAAACGGGAGTGGAGAAAGGTGCAGAAGTATGAGCAGGCCCGTTTGAAAGATGAGGAGAGTCGGAAATAGGAAGCCTTCTCGTTCTGGACCGGCTTCTTTGTGATATAGCTCAGCATATGATATGTATATTAATGACATCTCCCCTCAAGGTTATTCAAACAGCAAGAAGGATTATGCTTAATTCTGCCTCAGTGTGTGAGATATTCGCGGGAGCTGAAGCTACTGATCATATTAGGAGTACTCATGCTGTATGTATCAAGTCATGGTGTCATTCCCAGCCATAGACAGGGACCACCAAATAACTTGGAAATTGAACCCTTACAGAGTAGTGATACCATGTACTTATACAGCAGGACATTGGTTCCTACTATATTTACTTAGATGCATACGGTTCACCATGTAGTACCTCTGTAGGGGGTTAATTACCCTCCTGGCGTCTTTCTACCCTTAGACAATATTTATATTCCAACTATTGGGAATACCAGCCGGTAACAGCAAACGACTGATGGGTTCTTGCGTACGAATGTAGTACACTGTACTCTGGCAAAATGTCCCTACAACTGAGTTTGTTTCGTCGGCTCGGCCCGCATTCAGGAACTCAAGGAGATGGGAAATGTTATAAAATCCTAGGGCACTTGATGGTTCTGTACAAATGATAGCTTTCACCGTAAGATTGAAACAATTGGTGTTTTTGTGGACCAATAGAAATGTATTCTTGTCCAGCCTCGTATCCATTGTCGGCGCTTGCCCCTCATGACGAGCTGACCGTGCTTACATTTGTATCCCCTCTTTCATCACCTTCAATTCAGAGCTTCTCCCCCCATTGTCGGGGATGGCTAGCGAATGATTCTCCGTTGGTCAGTTATTATCTTTTGCTCCTTGCAGCCTTCAACTTGATCCGCCTTCATTACCGTTCTCACTGCTTCTGCGATTGCAGCAATGGCTCGTGGAGACTTCTATTCCATTTGACTACATAGGCATTTCCCTTTTGTAGCCGACGTAATTCCTGTCAAATCGAAGCCATGCCCAGCGTAAAGGATCGTTGGAAAAACTGGAGGACTAGGAAAACAAGGAGTCCGAACGATAGCTCTAGCGTTGTCGCCTCCCCCACTCCCCCGCCAACAGGTAAGTTGCGAGTTGGAAGCCGGTACTGGGCCATCTAGATCTCTACAACTGTCCTTTCTGCTAAACAGCGGAATACATCAGACAGCGCAAAAGTCCCGTCCAGCGACGTGGTGGACTCGCCTCCTTCCTCGGATCCATCTGGGAAGAAGGCCGAAGTGATAATCGCGACCTCCGGGAATCGTCAGCCGACAACGACGTCACCTTTCAAAGCGACGTTGGATGTCTCATCCGATACTGCTGACCATGCGCATATTCCCCACTCTGTCTCGCTGGTTGTCGATCCTGCGCAGGACCATCCCGGACCCGAAGAGCACTTGACCAAACAGAGCGCAGAGCTTTCCATATCCCAGAGAATCTGGAATGCCGCTTACGATAGCCTTGAAGAGGACAAGGATACTGCTGATCTGGTCAAGTCTTACATGAAGACTCTCACTGCAGTTCTCAAGGCCGAGAAATCTTCTGGTGACTCCGCCCCTGACGACGATGAGCTTGCTGCCCAAGAGCAAAGTCCAACCACGCGTCAGGAATATCTGAAGAGATTAGTCAACGATGGTCAGAAAAAAATTGAAACATCGTCAAAGATCAAAATGGCAGTGGGTGATGTCGCGCAATTCATCCTTTCCGCCAAAGGGATGATCGACCTCGCGATTCAGAACATTCCGCAGGCTGCGCTCCCGTGGGCTGGTGTTTGTATCGGGTTACAAGTAAGCAGTCATCGCTCGCTCTCCTTTTGGACCAACTGATGTTTGCCCAGATCCTCCTGAATCCGGCGCAGGCCACCAAGTCTAACCTGGCGGGCATCGCTCATGTTACCTCAAGAATGGACTGGTATTGCGCCCTAACCGAACACCTCTTGAACAAGAACAATATTATGATCGGAACGGAGTCTTTTCAAGAGGTCTTAGAACTGGTGGAGAAGGCAGTTGTGCTGCTCTACAAGGAGCTCCTCCTCTATCAGATGAAGAGCGTCTGTTCCTATTACCGGCATCGAGGCGTTGGATTCCTGCGCGGACTAGCCAACTTGGACGACTGGGATGGTGATTTGGCGCGTGTTAAGGACGCTGAAATCGTCGTGCGGGAGTACTCGGAGCAATATTACCGAGAGTATCACAAGAGCTCTCTGCGCCAGCTCGTCGACTCTGGTAGTGAGATGGAGAAATATCTCGGTGACATTCATCAGAACTTGCGAGAATTTATCGCCTTGCAAAAGACAACGCGAAGGAGCGATGAGGACAAGGAATGCCTCCAGGATCTCTTTGCAGTGGACCCGCAGTACGATCTGAAGGACATTGAGGAGAAAAAGGATAAATTGCTTGACGATGCGTATGACTGGGTCTTTAGCACCGATGAGTACGCCGCATTTACCAATTGGCTCGATGACGGGCGCAACGGAGCATCCTGCTGTGTGCTGTGGATAGACGGACCTGCCGGCACCGGAAAGACGATGCTCCTCATGGGCATCATACGCAAGTTCTCCGGTCAGCCCTCCGCCCTTTCACCGAGTGTCTCGTACTTCTTCTGTCAAGGTACAGATCAGACCCGGAACAGTGCAACGACCATCTTGCAATCGCTGGTTTGGCAGCTACTGGTGCAGCAACCATCTCTCATCTCGCACCTTCGAGACCTGCGTAGAAATGCTGGTGCCCCTCTTTTAAGAGGCGAGCGCGCATTTTATGTGCTATCCGACGCACTTCACAGCATGCTAAAAGACCCTTGCCTCTCCCCAATATATTTCGCTATCGATGCCCTTGATGAGTGTGATCGGAAAACTCCGGGCCTGGACCAGCTTCTTCAGCTGATTGATTCTACGCTTGCTCTCTCCAGTAAGGTGAAATGGCTGGTCTCTAGCCGTCCGGAGATTCTTGTTCACGCAGGCGGCAAGCAGCTCAAGGATATTCATGCTTCAACAGTTTCCGTCACGTTGGACCCTGGGCGTCTGGAAGGACCAGTCAACGCATATATTGACCATAAGCTTGACAGCATGAAGGGAAAAGACGGTTATGATACGGATACCTTGGCGCAGCTTTCGGACGAGATCCGCCAGCGAGCTATGTCCACGTTCCTCTGGGTGGCATTAGCGTTGAAAGAACTGGATGGAGTGGATGGGTGGGACGCCGTCGAGACCATCCAAAGGATCCCCTCCGGCTTGTCGAATGTGTACGAACTAATTATGGCCCAAATAGAGAAGGGCAGTCCGGAAAACCAAAAGCGGTGCAAGAACATATTAGTCGCTGTGGTTCTCGCATATCGTACTCTCTCGCTCCCTGAGCTTGCCATTCTTGCTGGACTGCAACCAAAGATTAACCCTCGGACAATTGTCGAGAAATGCGGCTCATTCCTGACCATATCTGGCCAAACCGTCTCTCTGATCCACCAGTCCGCCAAGGACTATCTCGAGGCAAACTACACAACAAAACTGGGTAGTGGCATCGGCCAAGGCAATGCGGACCTCAGCACGCGCTCAATCAATGCGATGGGTTCGATACTGCGGCACAACATCTATGCTTTGCCGTATCCAGGCTTTAAGACAAGTGATGTAACGCCGCGTGACCCGGACCCGTTGGCTCCAATACGGTACTCCTGTGTTTTTTGGGTCGGCCATCTATGCAAAGCAAGAAGTCAGGGCTTTGAGAACGACCTGATCGAGGGAGGGGCAATCCTTAGATTTTTAAAAGAGCATTTCCTCCACTGGCTGGAAGCATTGAGTCTTGTCGGTGGGATTTCGGAGAGCATCAGGCTCCTGAAGGAATTACAGACTGCTGTTGACGTAAGTCACTATTCGATTTTATGCGAACGTCTGCTTATAGAAGTCATAGTCCTCCAGCAACACTGAACTATCTGCGTGCCTTCGCGACATGCATCGATTTATCCGTTTCTTCCGTCAAGTGATTGACATAGCGCCGCTCCAGGCGTACTTCTCAGGTCTTGTTTTTGCCCCGCAAAGGAGCCTGATTCGGCAGACGTTTGAGAAATTCTTGCACATCTGGATATCTCATATACCCGTCCCGCGATTGGATTGGAGTCCTCGCCTATATACGCTTGACCATAGGTCTACACCCGAATCGCTAGCGTTCTCAGCAACCGGCGATCGACTTGCATCGGGCTTGGACGATGGCACTATAGAAATATGGGACACAGCGACAGGTGATTGCATGCAGACACTTCAGGGCCATGATCGCATGGTTATTTCAGTAGCCTTCTCAAGAAACGGAAATCTACTAGCATCAGGGTCAAGCGATCACATTATCAAGATCTGGGATACAGCCAGTGGAGATTGCGTGCAAATATTCCAGGACCATACTGGTCCGGTCTCCTCGCTATCCTTCTCAGCAACTAGTAAGCAGCTTGCATCAGGTTCGTCGGATGAGACCATCAAAATCTGGGACGTTGCCGCCGGCAAATGCGTGCAGACTGTTGAACTGAACTATGCAGTCCACTCAGTAGCCTTCTCAAACACCGATGCTCGACTAGCAGCAGGCTTGGATGGGGGCAGTACCATAATCTGGGACACCGCCAAATGCAAACATATGCACAAACTTGGACACAATCGTGCCCCTGTCGAATCAGTAGCGTTCTCGGCGGATGATAAGCGACTTGCTTCCGGGGAATGGAATGGCAGGATTAAGATCTGGGATACAGCCACAGGTGCTTGCTTGCACACACTTAATGGCCATGTGGATAGGGTTTTGTCTGTAAGCTTCTTAAGAGACAGAGATCAACTGGCATCAGGCTCATTCGATGGGACCGTTAAGATGTGGGACACGGCCACAGGCGAATGCATGTGGACACTTGTGGGCCATAGTAGTAGTGGGAGCATCTTGTCAGCGACCTTTTCAGCAACCGGTGATAAGCTCGCATCGGGCGGGTTTAGTGATACTGAGGTTTGGGACACGCTCATAGTCAATAACACGACTCCAATTCAGAGCCATACGGAAGGGGTCAAGTCGGTCGGCTTCTCAGCAAGTGGTCATCGACTAGTGTCACTCTCGTGGGCAGGCACAGGCACTGTTTCGATCTGGGACATAGTCACCGGCAAATGCATACGCATGCTCGAGAGACCGGTTGATTGTGCCCATGCTGCATCAGTAGCCTTCTCAATGGCTGGTGATCGAGTGGCTTTGGGCTTATTCGACGGTGATATCGAGATCTGGGACGCAGACACAGGAGAATGCATGCACACGTTTGAGAACCAAGGTCATAAACGTTCTTGGATTCAAACATTAGCCTTCTCAGCAAATGGCGAGCAGCTCGCATCATGCTCATGGGGTGGCTACATCAAGATCTGGGACACAGTCAGAGGCGAATGCATGCAGACACTTCATGCACTTCATGATCTTCAAGTTCCATTAATAGCCTTCTCAGCAACTGGTGAGCGACTGGCATCAGGCTCAAGGGATGGTATCATCAAGATGTGGAGGACTGCCTCGAGAAATTGCCTGTGGAATATTCGGGGCCATAGACGTCAAATCACGTCGCTGGCCTTTTCCGGGACTGGCAATCGACTTGCATCAGGATCAGAGGATTACACTGTCAAGATTTGGAACACGGCCACGGGGGACTGCATACAAATGTTCAAGGTCGGCAGTTTTATACACCAGCTACTTTTCGATCCTACGTCTACGTACCTTGTCACCGAAATTGGTCGTATTAAGGTTGATTTATCATCTCTTACCCCGACGATGGAGTCTACAGACATTACACAAGAGCAGACCTACATTGATCAAGAGAGCAGAGAAGTTCTCGACAAAGAGGATGGCGAAGGCAACAATGATGAGTTGAAAGAACAGGCAGAAGGAGGGTATGAAGCAGAGTCATTCGCAGAGGAGCAATCCGCCGAGGCTGGCGGTCTGACTAGCAACGATGATCAGTCAGAAGATAAGTTATTCGAAGAGGAACAATCGGTCGACGAGGAATCAGCTGATGATAAATCTGTTGGTGAGAAATCGGCTGCCGGGGAATTGGGCGCGGAGGAGCCCGCCGACGCAGGCAGTCTGGCTAGCAACAATTGTCAGTCAGGAGAACAGCTATTCGAAGAAGAACCAGCTGACGATCAATTGGTTGACGATGAATCAGCAGACACGGAATCAGTTGAGTGGGAATCAGACGAGGAGGATCTTGTGCCTGTTTCAGCTGCCTCCTACTCAGAGACAGAGGTTTCTGGCTACGGTTTGAGCCTGGACCGTACCTGGATTACGCGTGACGGTGATGATTTGATTTGGCTACCTGCCGAATTCCGCCCCGAATCCGGGTGCTCGGCTGTACACGGCAACACGGTTGCCATCGGTTGTCGATCGAGGGGTCAGGTCCTTATTTTCGGCTTCACGCCAAATGGATATTCCCCTGGCAATTAATGGTCCCAATGGTGTTATGTGGTTAGGGCAATACTGTCAGTCAATTAGAGCATCAAAGTATTATGTAGCATCTTCAGCGCCTTCTTCCAAGGATTTGGCTGGACATCTGGACTATGTCCCAGGTTGGTTTGTTGGCAACTATTCTTACAATTTTTTAAACGTTAGTTCGACATGTACAGGGGAAGTCAATCACAGATCTACAGGCAGTGGCTTCGCCTGAGGATGTAACTCATCAATGGCGGTGATACAAGCGATATTTATGGAAAGCAGAGCTGCCAGGCCATGTAAGCCAACTGGCAACTCCAGGGACAATGGCCAGACAATGCCATCGGTGCTATATCCTAGTACACGAACACCCTATCGCCTTTCATCAGAGGAATAAGAAGACTCAGTCAGATCGAAAAATGCCCTCAGATATGCTCTGGCATCGGTCATTCCAGCAGGATCCAATCTTCAATGTGGATCATAATCTGCCCTTTATATGATTGGGCTTGTCGAGCGGTGTCATGCTCCAGTGGCTAGCTGAGATGGTATTTGAGACAGTTGATCGAGAATAGTGACCCGAATCCAGTCGTCATACGCTCAGTCCCAGCCGGTGAGACCCGTTGAACTAATGAGTAGCCGTTTGCCAGTTCAGCTGGGTCCTCTATCTCAAGTAACCTTAGCCATAATGCAAGCATAATAACTTATTATCAGCATGCCACTTCAATGACTTCAGCTCAGTTATCCTCAGCCACTACCAGAGTTTAGGCGCCGTGCTGCAGGATTCCCGTCGGGGGCACGCCACAGCAAGGGTCGCACTATCAAACCCGGCGATTCCGTCTTGGGGTTATATGACATGCTGACATCAACCTACGTCGCTCTCTGAAGCTGAATCTGATATGCATGTCCTGCCGCTTGGTACCATGGTCCACCCCCCAGCTGCAGGGTTCTAGGTTACCAGGTTACCCCTCATTCCTCCCGGTCTTCCATCTCAGCAATACCCCCCTACAGTTGATTGCCTTAACTCTCTTGGATTCGACGAGACCACCACTGTCATCAGAAGATATTAATTTTCTAGACCCATCCTACATGCTATGGACCAACTCGACGGCATCCATTTCGCTGATGGATTCGATGAGAAAGACGGGCTTCCTCGGCTGCGAAAGCTTTTGGACTCAAAGTGGAACATCTCCTCCGACGGCAAAGGAATCGAGAAGAAATTCCATTTCAAGAACCATACAAACGTTTTGGATTTTGTCCACTACATCGGTGTAAAGTGCAAAAGGAAAAACCATCATCCTGAGGCCATCATGGTAAGTAAGATAAGGCATATCTTACCGGACATCTCTGACCAAACGCGCAGACACAGAATTCCTTGACCTATAAATGGACCACCCACAGGCCGCAAGGCCTATCCCAGAAGGACTTGGAAATGGCTGAATTCTGTGATGAAGTGGCAAGGGAACATATACAAGTAGTTGATGAACGTGAAGCGCCAGGATGCGGCCCTGCAAGTAATCCTTGACGCAGACACACTCTAATGCGTCAACACTACTAGTTTTATTGCATGTCAGCTGTGTGTGATCTATTTACTCTGCGAGACGGCACATGGCTCGGTCATATCCGAGCCACTTCTCAATAGTTCATCGTGAGATTAACATGGGTGTAAGCACTAGTGTATGGCGCCCAAAGCACTGAAGTACGACATTAACTGGGTTGTCTGTGGCGTTCTGAGTAACAGACAAAATTATAGGTTAATAATAGCCGAGAGAAGGCACCTGCATTGCCCTTAGTGTCGCGGTTCTGTTATATAAAGCGTAGATCCCATAGAGCATTGAAGTTGGTCTCCTCCATCTGACTCAACAAGACACTCTTCCTCTATTGAAGTATATACTTCGCAGTCAAGCAGTACACACTACACTATTCAAGTCCTGACATAGTGGTACAACAACATCCTGTACGTACGCTATCACAAAGACCTTCAAGGGTTTACTAACACTTGCAGCGCTACAATGTCCTACACTATCCGTCTCCGTATCGAGAACGGCACCTCCGACACCCTCACAGTTGTGGAAAAGACCTGCTGGTACTATGCCAACGGGAGCACCTGGACCGAGAAGGACGGCGAGCACGTGCTGTTCATGGGAGGCAGCGGTACCTCTGGAATGCTCCGCTTCAAAACTTCCTCTGGCGACTTCTTCACCGTGGTCCTGGGTATGCACAATTACAACCCATGGTCTGGGTTACTAGTGAATCTGCGGGAAGATGATACGGCACTGAAACTGCATCCGGAATACTACAACGGAGGCAAGTTTTCGAGCTTGACGCCTGATGCCGCATATACTCCTCCCACAGCCCATGGTAAAAATGTCTGGATCACTTGGCAAAGGAAGGATGAAAATGAGGTGTTTTTTGTTTTGCATTACCATCCATACTATCAGGTGGTGAACAAGCGAACTTGCTAGTTTGCTGTGGGTAAGATGGGGAGTTATGTCATGTACTGGTTGGTCGGTTCTAGGTCCAGATAGGAAGCCATACTTTCAGGCTCTATTGCCATGTGTGCCAGGAGGGCATTAAGAGTGAATAAGACAACATATTTCAACGACCCTTTCAATCTAAAAAGTCTGCAGGCACAACTGAATATTCTTGACCAGACTAGTGTCATTGCTGGCCCTACCATCACCCCTGATAGGGCTGAAAGGGATACCAGGTAAGGAGGATTATTTGCGACAAGCCACGAACCGAAACAGTACTGTCTCCAGGGTTTCCCAGAACCACTAAGTACTCACAATAACTTGACGATTTTTCGTCACCTGCCCTGGACATCTGCCAAGAGTATGGGACTGTCTGGGCTTCTTGTTGGCATGAAATGCCGAATCTCTTTTCGGTCATGACGAAACCGCTTCTCACGCATGAAGCCCGTCAATCCCTCGTCCTTTCGTCCTTGAAGGATGCTCTGTGGAGCTCAAGGCTCAATTACTACTCTGTTGTCAAAAGTTGCGGATCCTATTGGGCTGACCGCTTATCCTTTAGAAGATTGCTGGATCGCATCCAATTGGCAACGTACAATTTGAGCTAGGTGTCTCCCAGCTGATCCTGCGGGCGAAAGGGTTTCCGATCGGTGTGCCTAACACTCCTCTATGCAGACTTTTGTGATCGGCATCGCCCATAAGGAAGGGTCCTGCAGGGGACGAGTAAGACATCGCGGAAAATTCATTATGGATGGCCTGGCCCCAGTCAAATAAGACACTTGATGCCTGTGGTTGCTATAGATAGAGGGGGATTTCATATATGTATTCGTCTATGCCCCGTCCCAATTCTCCCCACCACTCTTCATCAGTGCGAATCACCAAAGTGATGGCTATTGTCTTCCTGGCTGCCACTGGCTCTGGGTTATGCTGTCTTCTACTTTCTTGTACAAGCGATCTATCATCTCTTCTTCCACCCGTTAATCAGATACCCAGGTCCGAAATTGACCGCGGCTACCTTCCTCTACGAGTTTTACTACGATGTGATCGAGGGGGGCCAGTTCTTCTTCCAAATCGAAAAGATGCATGAGAGATACGCTAATGTTGATTGTGTACTGTCAGTCATCTTGTCTCTCGCATCAGCCAGGCCCAATCGTCCGGATCAATCCTCGTGAACTACACATCAAAGAGCCCTTGTTCTACGATACGATTTACGCCGGCGCAGCACACAAACACGACAGAGATCCCCAATGGGTTCATATAACTGCTGCCCCCATGTCTACCATCTCCACAGTCAGCCATGACCATCACCAGTTCCACCAAAGCATTTCTTCTCCAAGAAATCCATCAGGGCTCTCTCTCCGGCAATCAAAGAGAGGGTCCTGAAACTAAATCAAGATCCGTCTCTCTTCCGGGACCTGCACACCTTTAGGCCAGAGCGCTGGATCGAAGCATCGGGCCAGCCGAGTCGTTTGACCAAGTATATCGTGTCGTTTTCCCGGGGAGCAGAATGTGTGTGGGCATACGTGAGTTGAATCCATGCCAGTACGAAGATGAGAACCGCTGCTCACATGTTAGTCTCGCGTATATCGAGCTCTTCATAACCATCCCTTACGTGGTCCGTCGATCCGACATGGTGGTGCATAACACGACCTTCGAAGATATCCGGATCGTGAGTGATTACAGGCTGGGGCTTTCCAAGGGCACGGTGAGCTTAGGGTGTTCAAAAGGTGACGAATATGTGCTTGGACTGCTTGTTACCACGACGGAGCTCGCATGTTATTCATCAACGTATCAAATGACCGAGAAAAAATAGGTCCATTGTCTCTTCATTCTAGAGGCTGAGACACTTCTTTACAATCAAGGCAACTTCATGTGGTTGTTCAATGACTGAAGCCGATACCTCGTTCAGTCATGGCAAGAAGTGTGTCGAGATTGAAAGACCTCAACCAGAGGTCTTGGGTAATGTGCTCGAGTGACTTTGGCTGCGATATGTTTCTCTCGGTCGGCTAGCGGAGGTCGACTTTCGACATTGTGTATAATGATGCTCAAAAATGGAGGATGAAACACTCCCGGGAACTCACCCGAATAGCTTCTTTCATACCGGGCCCCGAGCCGTGCGAGGCTCCCAAGGCGGAACGCGGTCATTCGTACATCTTTGTGATTTTTCGTTAGGATGTCTTTGAGGACGTGCCGGTAATAGGGTAGGGTAACGGTATATTTTGTTTGTTGCTGAAACAGCACTACGCCTCGACCATTCTCCAAGACAAATGGAGATCACATCAAAGATAAGATGGATCTGTCGCACTTGTGTCTTTGACCTGCTCAGGAGTCTCAACGTCGAAAAAGGCAACCCGTCGACTCTTTCTCAATATCATCCGACATATCCGACTTGAAAGCTTGATATTGCCGAGTCTGTCACTGGCACTTGTCTCACTTTTCTTTGACACATCTCTGTCAACAAAGACGGTGACAATTGTTACAATGGACGGACCCTCGACTAGGACTATATATCCTAGTTGCACTCCGGACAGAGATTGATACAGCTCGACTGATAATCCATACGTGCCTACACGATGGCAGACTTCAAATTCAGAGGAGACCTCGCAGCCAACCAGGAGTTGGTCTGCTCGATTTCCAGCCTGCTGAATGCCCATAACATCCCCAATCTTTTCTGGGGCGATCTCGTCTTCAATCTCTACGGAGTACCTCTCCACGTCTCAGTAAGTACTTGTCCCAACCACAGCTTACCTTGATCTAACCAACCAACAGGACTTCAGTTTCGTCATAGCCGACGATCTAATTGACAAAGCAAGCAATGTCCTAGAGGCAGCCAAGTTCCCCGTCTGCCATCTTGGCCAGACATGCCCCGCCATCCAGCCGAACCGCCCCGCTCCACCCCCCTATGCCCATTTCAACATCAAGCAAAAAGGCGACCCAAGAAAGTGGTTCAGAGTCGAACTCCACCGAAAGTCCGACTTGCTCTGGACAGCCCCGGCAATCCCGGCTTGCGCTCCCGACGCCGACGATCCGCACTACATGATTGCTAACGATGCAAGGCTACCAGAGTTCTCGCCGCGAGAGCTTCTCGGCCGGATGGACCTCGCCGACTGCCCGGTCAAGATACCGACCCCCAACCAGTTCGCCGAGGCGCTGGCGATGCTGTACTACCGCGATGGAGTGCCAGGGCCGACCATCCGCGGAGAGTACTGGTTGGATCTGCAGAGTGAGTTGGTCCAGACGGGGCTTGTGAAGCTGGATGAGCTCCCTGCCGTCATTAAGGGGCACTATGAGCTGGTGGGTAAGGCGGATATGAAGGAGGTGCACAGGTACAGCGAGGAGGTCGCGGGGCAGATGAGGGAGGAATTCGAGATCCCTGTTCGTATGTTGCCGCCGGATATGGATGCGTTTGAGCCGGCGGAGGAGGTGGTGGAGTTTCTTTGAGAGATTGTTAGAATGTTGCATTGTCATTGTTTAGATGTCTCGATTTAAATTGTTGGAGAGTCATTCACTAGAATATTTTTAACATACGAAAGGACCGATCAATAGAATGACTCGAGATAAATCTTCGATGAATGTAGTAGAAAAGTATCAATTTAGTTTTGAGTCCCGTTTAAAGGGCATGCCATCTTCGCAATAATATTTGAATGGACTCATCCATGGTATGCACAAAGTCGATATATTACAATTAATCTTAGGAATGGGCGTAAGAAGCGTAGAGTAATAGAAGAAGGGGCAAATAGACGCGTCCTGGGCCAGACAACGTGAGATACAAGCACCGCAAGCGTACAGGTCCAAGGACGAGTCATCTGTATATAGCCCGCTAAATCATATATTGTACCAAACCAAACCCGAAGATCGTACCCACAAGCCCCTTCACCATATCCCCGTTCGAAGTCAGCTGGCCTGCCGCATTGGAGGTAGCTGCGCTCGCCGCACTCGAAGTCCTCGAAGACGCTGTGCTGGAGCTTCCAGCAGTCGAAGTTGTGGTCGCAGTCGCAGTTGTGCTCATCTCATCCGTCGGCTGGATCGTCATCGAATCCGTAGGTTGAATCGTCATCGATCCACCGTTATCGCTGGCGCTCGTCGAGGCCGTCTCACTGGCCGGGAACGTCGTCGCAACTCGGCTGACAGATTTTCCAGTCGTGGCGGTTGCCGTCGTTGCGGTTGAAAGAGCTACGACCTGGAAGCCGAGCAGATCCTGGGAAGAGGCCTTGGAGAAGACCTCGATGGCCATGCCACTTGGCTTGCCATCGCACTTGTTGTTTGTGAAAAGGAGCATGTTGATACCCTTTTCGCCCTGGGAGTCGATCTTGAATATGTTGCCCTTGGGGTTATCGATCACGATGCAGTCGCTGGGGCCAGTGCCGGATTGGCTGTGCTTTTGGTTGTCGGCGTCGGTCCATGTTACTTCCCATGCGCCTGTGGAGGGGAGGAGAGAAAATGTGGAGAGAGCCAAAGGGAGAAGAGTTGACCACTTCATTTTGCTGTGGTTAGGAGTGGATCGCAAGAGAATGTGGTTTGGATGGAAAATTGACAACCAAGAAAGCAAACGAAGATCAATCAGTTCAACTGGGTGGCCCCTTTTCTTATGATTAAACCCCACCAGCCTTGTAGTCTCTGCCATCACCATTTCTAGGGGCTGGACGCGTAGATCCTCGTATTCGATGCACGAAGAACCAGTCACGATGGAAGCATGGAAGCCACCGTCCTTGGCAGACAGCGATCATGTTTGACGATACGAGCCAAGGCTGCATCACGGACAATCTCCATATCCCTGGCGAATGGCCACAAAGATGTAATGTCGGTCGACTCCAAGGCTGACTTGGCGTTGCTCGCTTGCCGCCAAAAGAGGGGACATGTCAACCGGACTCCGAAGGTTCCAGCAATCTTCGGCTAGACATGGAGACACTTGATTCAACATTGATATGAACTGTAGTGATCATCATATTTTTCATAGGCAGATAATACAGTGTGACTAGGATATCCTCGCGTACAAGGCCGGTCTACATCCATGACTTGAATTACGACGACTCCAGACTATGACCTCCGGGCTCTTACAACGGACCATTGACTGATAAGTTAAAAACAAGTGAAGACAAAATGATAACCAAGGAATCTATGTGAACTCCTCTTTCCAGTACTCCACAATAAAGTCTGGCTCATGCGGGACAACAAGGCTTGTTTGTAAAACAGCGGATCAGTAGTTCCCTTTCGTTGAGCAAGTTAAGCTTGACTATTCCGGTATGTAAGCCAGCCCAGACTTCACTCCCCAAGCCAATATGGTGTTCCAATGAGAGTGCATTCTTAGCCGGGGTGGCTGAAGTCAAACTCAGCCTACATTGACCAAGGTGGCGTTAAGCTACATAGTTTCGTTGAATTATGCTTGATTCACGCAACCGCAGCCCTTGGAACATATGCGATAACCGCAACATCAGGTAATTCCATAATCGGTATTACTACTGGATGGCACGGGATAAGCGAGGATATGCTGATCCATAACCTACTCAGTAAACACTTTCGGGGAAAGCATACACTAGGTAGACGGTAATCACGTCCACCTGTTTTCCCGTTGATTGCTCTTATGTCGATTATAAGCTCGGATACAACAGCGAACTGCGAGCGACCTTTGTTTTCAGAAATAAACACAGGGATAAAATAAAGATGTGTGGCTGCGGATGCTATTCCACATTCCAGCATTCCAGCATTCCACGGCGGGGCTGCTGGCGGCCCTCATCCCTTGGCCCCTCGTCCAACACTTGGTAACCTGAATGTGTATACGGTTTGACAATTAGCCAGTACCAATTACACAATGAGCTACCGGCAGCATACGCAGTTGTTGGTCATCAAGGAGGAATACCAAAAGCAAGCCAGGATGTACAGGAACAAGCCGTACCATAACACCCCCAAGTTAATGTTCAATCCTCTAGCACGACACTTCCCCGGTTCTTAATTTAAAGATCTGACATCAACTGGATAGAGGACACAATACGCGTAATGATATCCAGCAGCCACGTGGAAGGAATCAGTTCATGTATGGCCCGAGAATATGGCCTGGCACATTCCTGTACGTTCTCGGAATAGACTGTCTGTCGCTTGCATTATGCTCACTTTCCTATGTAGTTGATGCTCGAAATTATCTTGTAGCCAATCTCAGTCTAACTTCACTGAGGTATACGAAAACAGTTACCACAGGCCATGTCTGAATCGTCTGCGGAAGGTCAATATACGTGCCACTATTTGGATGTTGGGCAAGAGGATATCCGTTTTCTACATCTTATGGACACAGAAAAGGTATAAAGATGGCTTGATGGCCATGACTTCGAGCTCACTCAATATCAACCATCCTTTCATAACATCAATTGAGAATCAAGTTTCAATCTTCCAGATATCCTCTCGCATCTTCGCTTATTTACCTCTCAAGCCAATACTCAGGTACTTTCACTTACTCAAACCATCCATACGTTACTAAGTCTTCCCAGTCTACCGTCGAAATGCACTTCGTCTACCAAGCCCTGTCCGCACTGGCGGCCTCTCTCCTCTTCTCATCCGCCACCGCAGGGATCGCGCACTGCAAGGTCGGGGAGGCATGGCCCGATAGCTTCAACTGCCACAACTTCTACGAATGCGCTGCCGGAGGCGCCCCCGTCCTCAAGACCTGCGGGCCGGGTACTGCCTACTGCCCGACGACGGGTGTCTGTGTCCAGGAGGAGACCGTCCCCAGCTGCTTCCACAGGGGTCTTCACTCTGAGAACGAATAGTTCTACTTTGAGTTGCGCGTGTTTACTGCTATACTGGAATTATGTATAATCCATTGACTTGGAGACTGGATTACATTTGTTCCTGTTTTGGATTTTATACCACGTTGGGATAGAGATAGATCGAATTGTGTTATGTGAAGTGTTTTTGATGTTGAGGCTGATCACCGAGAATTCATGTCATTCCTACATACATTCCAGCATTGCATTCCCAGGCTTTGGGCTTCTGTCCTTGAAATGTACCTCGCCTGATCGCTCCTAAATAAATCTCTAGAACTGCTTATTGCGCAGCAACCAGACTAGCCAAACATCATACATCATAACAGAACAAACAGCTCAATTGTAGACTGCTCTAGGCATCAACGGCGTACCTCATAACAACCAAACTTGTTCCCCTCCGGATCGCTGAATTTCATAAGAGAACCATACGCACTCTCAGTCGTCTTCGCCTGAATGACGCGTCCACCTAGCTCGCTTACCCGTTTCTCCATCTAACTCAATCAGCATTTCTTCATCAAACGGGTAGATGAGCTGACCAATTCAAGAGAATCTACAATGTAATAGACAGTCACCCCTCGAGCCACCGGCTGCTCTATTCCCGGCCCATCCTGAGTCATTTTGATAATTGCACCGGCAAGTCCTACACCATCAGCCTGCGACACACCTACGGAGGGGGAAAATACCTCGAGGTTCAGAGAACTTGAAATGCCGCATCTGAGTTCCATCCTCAGTCGCTTCACCATGCGCTGGCTTCCATTCCCACGATGGGAACAAAGAGGTATAGAATGTCTGCTCTCGTTAGAAACGCCTCTCCTGTGTTTGATTGACTAACCTTGAGCTTCTCTACGTTCTGCGCCGGTATCTCGACAAAGCAGGGGCTGCCTTCTGGGGGGGGATGCCATGCTTGCTTTGGTTGAGAGTTGAGTCTTTGGGTTGTCAGATATGTTCTGCAAAAAGTCCGTATTTGGACATGGTAGGATTGTATGTTTTGACCGGGACGAAGAATACGTTGCATTGTTAGTCGTGTTTTGTTTTCTCTTAGCTTGGTTGCAGGGAATCTAAGCTTTATAAATATGCCACCTCGTATTCGGCCTTGGACCATCCAATAGTAGCATTGAACAATTGTCCAGATGAGTCACTGCACTTGATAGTCGAATAGGTATAATGCATAATGATTCGAAAGAATGCTGCTACCATGTCAGAAGACGAGCATCTATAATAGTGCTGTAGTACGAAAGTTGCGCTATCAGTGATACGAGCAAGTGAATCCCAATTCCCAAGTGCGGGGTTCTCAGTATATAAGTTGGCACATCTTCGGCATTCATTATCGACTCTTTTACAACGTATCCAGGCTTCCAACATACGTCTTATATCGTAGATCGCTACAATGCCTCGTACTCGCCCCAGACGACTCAACCACCTCCAAGGAATCAATGTCGATCAAATGGCCCAGATCGCCGACGCAGGAAGCAACGACTACCTCCGCCTGGAAAATCTAGACGTCAACGTTCCCCCTGATCCAGAGGCTTTAGCCTACACGAAACACGCACTCACCGACGACGCATGTAACAGTTACCTCCCATTCACCGGCAAAGCCCGCCTGAAAGGAGCCGCAGCCAGACACGTCTCGCAGCTGTCTGGCATGACATATTCCGGCGAGCGCAACTGCGTGATCTCCGTGGGCGGGCTATCCGGCATCCTGAATGTCCTGCTGGCAACTATCGAGGAAGGCGCCGAGGTGATATTAACGGATCCGACCTACCGGGGGCTCATCAATCGGGTCCTGCTCGCTGGCGGCGTCCCCAAGCTTGTGCCCGTCGCCTTCCAGCCAGGGAAGGAGTGGAGGCTGGATCAGGCCGCACTACGGGCGGCTGTTACTGACAAAACTACTGCGATGCTGCTCATGTCGCCGTCGATGCCAAGCGGGGGCTACTTTACCCGGGAGGACTGGACAATCATTGCGGAGATCTGTGTACAGAACGACCTGCTTCTCATTCTGGACGCCGCAATGGAGCGTCTGGTTTTCGATGCGCGGCCGGTGATTCACCCTGCCAGTTTACCTGGGATGTTCGAGCGGACGGTTACCGTCGGCTCGTCCGCGAAAGAGCTGCGGATGATCGGATGGCGTGTTGGCTGGATCGTGGGACCAGAGGACCTCATCAGCGACATTGCGGCGGTCTCTATGGCCAATGTCGTTGTGCCTGTTGGGATCGCTCAGGAAGCCGTGGCTGTTGCGCTGGACAGGTCATCAGAGACGATGGCGCCCTATGTGGCTGAACTACAGGCCCGCCGGGATCTTGTCGTCGCGGAACTCGATGGATTACCCGTCGGGATCCCCGCGGGCGGATGGAGCCTTCTTCTCCGCGTGAGCGATTTCGGGTTGGACGGGAGCACCGCGTCGAGGCTTCTGCTGGAACAGGGAGTGTGCGCAACTGCGATGGATGGATGGGGAGAGGTGCACGGGAGCCAGTATATCCGGTTTGTGTTCTCCAATGAGTCTATTGAGAGGCTGAAGGGGCTGGGTGCCAAAGTCCGGAAGGCGTTGAGTATTTCCAGTGATTGAACCGCGGGTCAGCCGGAAGTGCAATAGTTATACTGTTTTTCCAAGCATAACTCTAATAGAGTTTGGTCGGTCATATAAGCTCTGCCCTTTAGTGTTATTTCCGTTCACAATGTCATCAACGGATTTATACGTCTTATTTCCGCAGCGACCGTCTCCGCTGATGTCACTCCACAATCAAACTTCCCACATATTCCACATATAAAAGGACGCTGGGTGTCCCATCATAACATGACAATCACATTGAAGCCATCCAGTCCGTACAATCATCATGCCTACCCTTCCAACTCGTCCCCTGGGAAAGAACGGCCCCCAGGTCCCCCGACTCGGCTTCGGCTTAATGGGCCTGAGTTCCTTCTACGGCACCGCCAGACCCGACCCCGAGCGACTTGCCCTGCTCGATGCTGCATATGAGCTAGGCGAAACATTCTGGGATAGCGGTATGTACCTTATCGGGTTCCCATGAATCCCACTAACGGAATCCAGCCGACATATACGGCGACAGCGAGGACCTCCTCGGCAAATGGTTCAAAGCCAATCCCACCAAACGAGACCACATCTTCCTCGCGACCAAATTTGCCCTCCGCGTGGGAGCAGATGGACAACGCATCGTCGACACCTCACCCGAATACGTCCGCGAAGCATGCGATCGCTCCCTCGCCCGCCTCGGCATTAAGACCATTGACCTCTACTACTGCCACCGACTCGACCTCAAGACACCCATCGAAAAAACCGTCGAGGCAATGGCACAGCTCAAGGCAGAAGGCAAAATCAAATACCTAGGCCTGAGCGAGTGCAGCGCAGACTCCCTGCGGCGCGCGCACAAGGTCCACCCCATCAGCGCCGTGCAGATGGAATACTCGCCCTTTGCGCTGGAAATCGAGAGCCCGCAGTACCGACTGCTCGAGACGGCCCGCGAGCTCGGCGTCGCGGTCGTGGCGTACTCGCCGCTAAGTCGGGGTTTCTTGACTGGGGCTATTACCTCGGCGGATGATTTCGAGGAGGGCGATTTCCGCCGGCTGTCGCCTCGGTTCAGCAAGGAGAACTTCCCGAAGAATTTGGAGCTGGTGGAGAAGCTGAAGGCGGTTGCGGCGAAGAAGGGGGTCACGCCGGCGCAGTTGACGTTGGCTTGGTTGATGGCGCAGGGGGATGATATCTTTCCTATTCCCGGGACGACCAAGGTCGAGCGGTTGAAGGAAAACCTGGGCAGTTTGAGTGTTGAGTTGTCTGCCGAGGAAGAAAAGGAGGTTCGGTCGGCCTGCAATGCGGCGGAGGTTGCTGGTGGTCGGTATCCTGAGGATTTCTCGGTGGCGTGTTTTGCGGACACCCCTGCTCTATAATGTCACGATATATACGCTAACCCCACGTTCCAATTTTGAGATAATTATATATGTAACGTTAAGCACAGGCCGGTTTATATTGACGCTGATGGTAATCATGTATTGCTACGGAAAGCATTATATATCTTCCATATATACGCGCTACATCGTGAGATTAGATCGTCAGCAGTAGTTATAAGCGGCCTGACACTGGGCCTGTAGCACTATCGCAGGCAGAAATACTTAACATCGAAGAGTGACTATAAACCCATACCAGGTTGCCAGCCCTCGATAGCCGGCGTGGAGAGTAGATTCATAAGTCATGCCTGAACCAGCAGAAAGAAAACAGGACATGACACAGAGACATGGACGCATGGGCGCTGTGTCTCGTCAACTGTTCTTTATCGAGCATCAGTTCCTGGCTACACCGTATTAGGACAAGGATCTTGATATGAGCAAAACACTAACTACTGGTTCGGGATCTCCCCGGTTGGCGGCGAGCGCCGTAGGGATGACAAGATGTGGGGCGTGGAAAGCGAATGAACAACTCAACACCAGGAGAAAAGTGGGTATAGATCAAGCTAGAGTCAATTTCTGCTTCTAGCGACTTGTTGCAAACATATCCCATTTGGGTCATCCTCTAAACCTTCTCACCGTTTTCTCTTGTTCAATGATAGGCCGGGTATCAGAAATCCGAGGTGATCCAACCCTAATTGCTGATTTGGGCAACAATATATGAGCTAGATAGCCGCTCAATTGGGAAGAATCGACCTTCATTGGCTTTGTCTATTTTATATGTGGACTAGTGATTACCGAATTCTCATGGTATTGCGGATTTAACACCAATGAGAGATGAGAATATGGCTGTTGTCGAAAAACAACCAAACAGCCTGTACAGGCCCAATATCCAGACAGAAGGACAATATTCTAGTGATTCCATTGAGGAGAAGTTCCCCGAAGGAGGCCTTCGGGCCTGGCTGGTAGTAGTCGGATCATGGTGTGCAATGATCCCATCGATGGGTCTTTTGAATACGATAGGGGTGCTGCACGCATGGACAGCCGAGCATCAGCTCGCTAGTTATTCTCCCTCGAGTGTTGGGTGGATTTTTGGCGTGTTCAGTTTCTTCTTGTACTTTGGCAGTGCGCAAGTTGGTATGTAGCCCCTGCCTCGCGTTCGATCCCTTCTAATGGTTGCAGGCCCCATCTTTGACAGCCGAGGCGTGCTTCCAGTTGTCCTGCCAGGGTCAATTGGCATTGTACTGGCCGTTTTCTTCTTCAGCGAGAGTACCGGTACGTCCTCTACGTTCCCTCTCTCCTGTCTCGTATCAGTCAAGCTGACAACCACAGAATACTACCAAATCTTCCTTTCCTTCAGCGTTCTCGGCGGCATCTCCTCATGCTGTCTTTTCACACCAGCCATCGCAGCTGTCGGCCACTGGTTCAACGTCCGTCGTGGACTGGCCACGGGAATAGCCTGCACCGCAGGCGGACTCGGCGGAGTCTTCTTCCCGTTGATCATTCTCTACCTCGGTCCTACACTGGGATTCACCTGGGCTCTGCGGATCATCGGCATCATCTGCTTCGTGCTGTGTGCGCTCGCCTGCCTTTTACTTCGCACCCGCCTCCCGCCCAACCATCAAGCCGGAATGGCGGTCGACTTTAAAGCGCTCCGTGAGCCCAATTATGCAGTCACCACGCTTGCAGTCTGGCTGGTGGAGTTTGCCGTCTTCATACCGTACACCTACATCTCCTCGTACGGCCTCCACGCCGGCATGGACTCGTCTCTCGCATACAAGCTCAGCGTTTTCCTGAACGTCGGCGCGATCCCCGGCCGCGCGTTGCCAGGATTGCTCGCTGACCGCGTCGGCCGATTCAACATCATGTCATTGACGGCGCTAGTATGCGCCGTATTGACCCTGGCCCTGTGGTATACAGCCGGTGATAGTGACGGCGCCATCATCGCCTACGCGACGTGTTTCGGGTTCTGGAGCGGCGCGGCGATTAGTTTAACACCCGTGTGTATCTCTCAGGTTTGCCGGACGGAGGACTATGGGAAGCGTAATGGGACGACCTTTACGCTGGTGAGTGTAGGGACGTTGACTGCGATTCCTATTGCGGGTGCGATCCAGGAGTATAACCATGGGGAGTACTGGGGGTTGATTGTGTTTGGTGGGGTGTTGTATCTGGCGTCTTTTGTGGCGTTTGTGATTGCCAGGGGAGTTGCGGGGGGTTGGCGACTGAAAACAAAGTTTTGACCTTGTTGGGTTCTCTTAGTAGAGGTTAGATAAAACTGCAGCATCTAGAGTACCTTGACGCAATAGTGCCACTTCCTAATCAGGCATGCTTCTAGAAGAATTCCAGACCAAGCTTTTACTAACCCGATACAGGTAATGCCAAGCCCTCTGGGTATCTATGGACCAATCAGAACGAAGCTGTGTGGCTTGTCGAGGCTCCGCAGGAGCTTGTCTAGGGTAAGAATTGTATCAGATGGGGCCTCGAATAGAAGCAGTAAGGCATAGAAACGACTATGCTTTTATTTCTCTGGTCTGTGATTGACGGCCTCATCCGTCTGATCAAGGTTTTACACCTTTCCATCTCCGGGATTCCCCTGCGTAGATGGAGGCTGGAATGAGGCGGTGCAATCCTTCCGGGCCCTTTTGACCGGATCGCCCGGAGGTGAATATCCCAACAGTCACATCTTCTAACCTACACCATGTATGACAGACAATAGACCCCATGAGACGCAAAACACTGCGGTCTCTTTTCCACCTCACCGTCCTGGGCGGTATCTTCCTCCTCCTCTTCCTCAACCGCCCAACCTCCCGCACCAAAACGTTCCCATGGACACACATCCGCTACAAATCGTCCTCCCCCATCCCGCCCTCCCGCGGAAGATGTCCCGGTCTAAGCAAAACCACCAAACCAGCCCTGGTGGTCTCCCGCGTCACAGCAGACGGTGACCCCTCCTGGCTTGATTCTCTATCCAAAACCTACCACCTCTGCATCTACACCGTCGACAGTCCCACCCCCAGCGCATCCACGCTGCAAGTCCCCGCAAACCGCGGCCACGAAGCAATGGCCTACCTCGCCTTCCTGATAGACAACTACGAGTCCATCCCCGCCGCAGGCGTCGTCTTCGTACACGGCTCGCGCTGACGCCTGGCACAACGACCACCCAGCGTACGATAACGCCGCGCTCCTCGCCTCGCTTAACATCCCCGCTGCGCTGGAACATCACGGGTACCATAATCTCCGCTGCGACTGGAGCGTGAGCACGTGCGCCGCGTCGGCCGCGCCGCAGGGGAGTCTGGAGAACCGGGTGCAGTCTGTGCTTGAGCCGTGGAGTGCGCGCGCGGCGTCGGATTCGGCGCTGCCGGCGGCGCTGGGGGTGTTGTTTGGTGGGAACGAGCGGGAGGGGTTCCTTGCTGCGAAGCTCGGGCGCAACGACGCGGTGCGGTCGCAGTGCTGTGCGCAGTTTGTTGTCGCCAGGAAGAATATCTGGCGGCATTCTCGCGCGGAGTATGTTGCGTTGCGGCAGTGGTTGCTTGATGGGATGGGGGCTGGTCCTTCGCGGCGGAAGGGGGCTGGTCCTTCGCGGCGGAAGGGGGCGGCCCCGCCGGATGATAGGGTTGCTGGGAGGATTTTGTCGTATATTTGGCATATTCTGTTTATTGACCCGGAGGACTTAAGGGCAGGGACTGGAAATGGGGTGGATTTGGGGCTGTTGAATGAGCAGGCGTGCCCGAGGGCCGACGAGTGTTATTGTCGGTTGTACGGACTGTGTAATCTGCGATGTACGAGCCCAGGCAGTTGCCGGGGGCAGTACACATTGCCCAAGGATTTGAAGTTACCAGCCGACTGGGGAGAGACCCAGTCACATCTTAAATGATACAATCGCATGTACATAACGACGCAACGCTACTATATGCCTTCATGCTTGACATCAACAGCCGTACTAATAGCCTCATCCTTGACTCGCTCTCTTCCCGTAGCATCATGTTCAGCATCCCAGGCATTCAATTGCTCGTTCGGAACCTTGACCAATTTATGCGCCGTCGCCCCATCCTCCATCTGCAGGACAGTCTGCCGAAACGCATACCCACCCAGCCGCGGCAACACCTTGATATAAACGTAGTAATACACCCCACAGAGCCCGATACTACATAATCAGCAATGCACTGGGTACGACAGAGGAGAACTCACATTCCCAACCCCACGACGCAGTACGTCGCATACCAGAAATTCACGTCCCCCCCGTTGGCCCCCGTTGTGGGCGGATACCACGGCGCAACAACCATGTACAGATTCGAGAGGATGGAGAAGCCGACGACCACGTCCCACGCCTTATACTCAGAGGGTGGAATATTGTGCCGCTTGCGGTGACGACGGGTCAGCAATAGCCCAATGGCGAGAATTAAGGCGAATGCGTTGACGGGGTAGACGCCCAGATCGACGACTGCGACGTCAGTATAGACTTGATATGTGTGGAAGGAACGCACCGAAATTGAAGGCGTCACCAGCCGGCGGAGCAAGAATCATGAGGACGGTCAAGGCCCATTTCACCGCGTAGGGACCAAGCGGTGTGCCGAATGGACGAGTCGAAGTGAAGAACTTGGTGAATGGAAGGACACCTTGCCTGGTTTCGTTAGCGACGGCGACGCCCAGTCATGCCATGAGACCTACCTTCCGCATTCTCTGAGAATACGGGACTTCCCGATGAGAACGGCAAGGAGATTCCCGAATGCGCTGAGACAGATCAGAAAGTTCAGGGCTCGCGAGGCGCTGCTCGTCCCGAAGACTTTCTGGAAGAAGATACTCGCCGCTATGACCTTTGAGCCGAGGATCTCTTCCTTTGTTGCGGCGGATAAATAGGCGATGTTGGCGAGCATGTACAGTGTTGCTACAAGGAGGAGGGACAGCGGCGCGCTCCACCGTAATGTTTTGACCGGGTTCTGCGTGTATGAGCACTGAATATCCGAAGCTCAAACATGACATACCTTGACTTCATTCACCACGTTGAATGCATTCTCGAATCCCGCGTACGAGAAGGCTACCTTGACCAGTGCATTTGTCGCCCCGTACACCGAGGCAGAGGAGCTACCCGCAAAGGCGTCGCGAAAGTTGGCCTTGGGATCTTCGATCTTGGTGTGGCCCCCGAGGACAACTAGGCCAGTGATACCGATGCTAAATAACCAGTGAGCTTTGTTCTTTTATGGAATCGACAAACATACAAGATCAATGTGACTAGTTTGACAAAGCCAATGGCATTGGCGAAACGCAGCGACCATTTCGTGTTGAATGCCAGAACTATACCCGTTAGTATCCTTATATTGTCTGTATATGTAATCTCACCTAGCACTGCAACGGTATATGAAGCGACAGCGACACCTTTGAGCTTCCAGGGCGTGGGCTGCGCCTCCGCCAGTCGAAAAAGATACTGCGCGAGGACTGATCGGTCAGATATATCCACCCAGGAACTGATATACATACCAATGGCATTACTACTGCTAAAGGAAAACAGAACCGACTGCATTGCAAAGACAGTCGGGAGAAAATACTTTGGCCGCGGATACGCCTGTTCGAGATAAACCACCTCTGAGCCGGACCGACTCGGGAAATATGAGGAAAACTCCAGGTAGACGGCCAGTGAGCTGCCGGCCATGAAGAATCCAATAACCCAGTAGATCAATGCCAGACCAACAGATCCGGCGCCTTTGAGGACAGTTGATGCTACAGCAACCAGTCAGTCCAGGAATCGGATCACATGAGGCGGAGGACATACGGGTGGAAAAGACACCAGTTCCGATCATCTTGCTGAGGTTGAGGAAGATGACTGTAATCCAACCGACCGAGTATCCCAACGGTGAATTAACCTCAACTGGCGCACCGCTGGCTTCTTGGTAGGTTGGCACAGAGGAGTTGGCACCGGCCTGAGCAGTGTATTGCAGGTCACCACTGCTCAAGCTCGAAGCATCAGATTGATCATTTTGCTCGGACTTAGATTGGAACCTCATTATGAATGGATTAGAACGAGAGGTAGATCAGTGTGTGCTATTCAGCACATGTAGTAGAAGGTCAACTATTTATCCCTTGATAAGTGTAACATAGGGTGCTCATCACCTGGCACAATGGCGTGATGCTGTACTACCGAAGTTGATAAAACTTCAACAAACTCAAGGGACCTAAGTACAGCCCATCTGACATTGGCAGAGAATCTAGACTATCAAGTAGACTCTCCTTGCGCCTGTACAGCTCATTCTAGTTTGTCTTCATACTCCGCCCGATGTTTGTTTGTCCGCTGGTAGCCCTCGGCAATGCGACCCAAGTACTGATTATCGGTCGAATGATATCAAACGGACAGAATGGCGAGGATATATACTTGGCATCCCCTCTGAAGACTCCAATAAAATCAAGATTCTTACTTGCCAAGAGGATTGCATGATTGCAGGGGATAATGGTAGCATGAGGGGTCTAACACTAGGCACAATGTCGCAATCCGCACCATCTTTTAGCATCGGCACATCGGCATTAGAAGCTCGAATCTCAGGCCGGATCAAGTCCATCGCGCCAAAATATTGTTGTCAAAAGACAAGTCTGTGAATCGACAAACTCACATTGAACTGTACACTGACATGGCATATGAACAACACTCTGTCAAAGGCAAGGCAATCAAGGGAACAGAAAATACAGATGGGGAGTACACAAGGCCCGACAAGAACGGCTATGAGATTTGAGCGGCCTGCACACATAACTAAGAAGAATTCTAGCGGAACCGAACCCTTTTCCTGGTTCTTGCGTCCCAGAGCTTTGGGTTGGAGCTGCGTGGTGGTATTCAGCGTTCAAACAGCTTCCAGAGCGACATGAACATTTCTCTGTGTCCTGGAGTACTGAGCATACAGATGGCCTTTATAAACCTGGGCAGATCTGCCCATGTAGACAGTGACATATGTGTCTGCAGGAGTGTAACTGCGTCCTCCGCAACTCCGTCTTCTTGTCGTCCTATGATCGACTGATCTACTCCTTACAACAGGTCATGGCTCTTCATTGGCAAAGGAGGCGAGAATGTCAGCTTAGCTCTTCCATTGGGTGGTGTAGCGCTCCGTTCTACACCCCGGCCCCAACTTGGTCGTTCGTTCCCATACCTATCAGTTAACCGCCGCATTGCTGCCTCCTCTCCACTTCTTGCTTGACAACTTCTTGATGTCGCCAGTGTATGCGTCATCTATGTGGAAGACAAAATGGACGTCTTGAATTCATAAGTTAACCCCTGATCTTTATCATCTCTAGGGGATCCGTGCCTCAAACCTTCAGCAGGCCAAAGACCTAGGCTCACAATGTCGGATAACGGAGACTACGCGCGTGAATCTCCTGGCGTGTCTCAGTCAGAGGAAGAGTATGACGAGCGGCCGCTCAATGGTCTGTACATCGATATGGCTCCATTCGGACTGGAGAAAATCTGGGATTACGAGCCAGGTGGTCATCATGTTGTTCAGCTTGGCAATCACCTAGGTCGAGAGGGGGAATACCGCGTCATTCACAAGCTAGGAAGTGGGGGGTTCGCCAATGTTTGGTTGTGCCAGGTCCTTCGCAATGGGATACCCCATTATGCGGCCCTTAAGATTCTTATGGCCGATTACTCTAAAGACGATTGCCCTGAGCTTCGCGTGGAACGGCTCCGAGCAGTCGGGTTGGAAAAGCACATCTGCCTCCCATTTGATCAATTCCGAATTGAAGGCCCAAATGGATCTCACCTTTGCTTCGTATATCCTGTGGCAGGACCGCGTGTCTCTCTTATAGCCCAACAATTCGAAGACCCGGACAGAAGCTTGCGGAAAATGGCTCGACAAGCTACAGAGGTCATGGCCGCATTGCATAGTCATGGTATATGTCACGGAGGTAAGTTCCCGAGTTCCCACAAGCCACAGTGAATTGTTGGAGCTGACTGGCAGCAGACTTCACGCCGTCAAATATTCTCCTAAAGGTTGAGGGCCTTGACGAATTACCCGAAAATGAAGTGCTCAAAATCCTGGGAGACCCCGTCAAGGTAGAAGTTTTCAATGAGTCAGGGGAGACTCCCTCTGATCCAACCGCGCCTAAATATCTCGTCAGCCCGGTCAAGTTTCGCAATGTTCCTCTGCCGTACGTTGTAGATGAGATTCTTCTGATTGACTTCGGAGAGTCTTACGATGTCACAAACCCACCGGAGGAGCTTGGTATCCCTGAGAGTTATCGTTCGCCCGAACTTGTTTTAGAGAATACACCAGGATTCGGAAGTGACCTCTGGGCACTCGGTTGCACCCTCTTCGAGATACGAACGGGCAGAAAACTCTTCGACATGTTTGATGACGATGATGACAGTCACCTCTTTCACATGATTGAGATGCTTGGCGCACTGCCAGAGCCGTGGTGGACTACAACTTGGAAGCACAGAAAGGAGTTCTTCAAAGATGAACCGGACTCACTCGGTCAAGCGGTCCTGGTTGACGCATTAGCCAAGGAACGATCGGACCTATCCGTCGAGCGCCCATCGATAGAGTTGGCGCTACGACGAGGATTGCATTATTGGGACTTGGGGCCAGGCGAAAAATTTAGCAGAGAGATTTCCCCCGGCGAGATTGAACAATTGGCAGACCTCTTGAAGAAGATTCTACAATATGAGCCTAGCCGCCGGTTAACTGCGGCAGAAGTTCTAGAACATGAATGGCTTCGTCTTGATGAGACTTGAAGGCATGTTCACTAGGGGTTACCAGCGTTGCGGTTCCCTTGAAGAGATTCGCATTATCTTATTCTTGTACCACGGTTCGATAGCGAGTTCCATATTTCAGTGAGCTGTCACTGCGATATCTGTCATAGCATCGTCTATATCTGAGCGTGGGATTTATATAACTATGCTGACGAGCCTGGGGTGCCCTTATGTATCCACGGTATTGTTGATGGACCGACACATACCCTCTCCAACTCATATACGGTAGCTTTATACAAGTATATAAATTAGATCTGGTGTTTACCATTGATTTGGAGGCCATCAGTGGTGTAAAAGGGGAGTTTCATCTCCTCGGGCACTCTAGCCTGGGAAGTGCCTATAACGGTAAGATGAGACGAATTAGAGCATTTTGCTCGAAGATAGCAATGAACTCCTCGGTCTCCAGACTCCGCTAACTAAAGGTCCTATCACTGAGATGTACAATATAATGGCGACAGTCTCACTTCCCCAGATAGTTGTTCATTCAACGCATCTTTGTAACGTTATATCTGTCAGGAGCGACAAGGGATGAGAACCAACACGATAGGTACCAGCAACGTTCAATGAAAGCAATTCCTCTATGTCTATTTCAATTTATTTGTCGCCAGGACTAAGAGTAATACAAAGTTAAGATTGTCAGATGACCCACGGGATGCCAAAGGAGCATTATATTCACATCTGATGTGACAAAAACCAGCGCTCCACATTATCAACCAATCTATTCACTTATTTTGGGATTCTTCCAAATTATCCGTAGCTTGCAATATATAATAAGACTGAGGCACCCCCAGAACCTGATCTTCTTCACTCTCGCATGGAGACCAGCCACTCTCCCCACTTTATACCATTATCTGTACCTCAAAACTATGCCTGATCTTGCTGGTATTTAGTCAAGTTTGTCCTTTACAAGCTTCATATCCGGAGTCTTCACTAACCAAGTCTCTGGACATCTGGAAATGCTGGCAGCTATCAATTCGATGCTCCGAGCAACTTGGTTTTCCTCAGGCAGCTTGCTCAGCACATGGGCCACCTCGACTGGCGCGTCATACACCTCCTCTGCCATCTATCATTCAGTGTAATACTAGATGATTATTACCGAGCTGCAGATGACGAATCGGGCACAACGACTGCGGCCATTGCAAAGAGCGTTGAACGTGGCGACCGTGGCTTCTCTGACTTCTGGTGGAGGACCAGCGAGGGTTCACGAAACATGATGCCCATGAACCGATTGGCAGAAGCGTACTATTCCATGGCAGATACCGTCATACTGTGATACCCCTTCCGCATCTTATGAAAAGAGGGTCTGTGGAGGAAGCCAGGGGTCGGCGCACGTCGACCAAGGTTCCTGTGCCTGTGCATTGGTCAACCGTCATGTGGACAAGCAGTAAGCGACGCCTGTTCTAGCCAATAACATATCTATACTGATAATGCAATTAATCAAGGAACAGAGGGCGGCGCAATATGTTATTTGTGCAGAACTTGGCCTTCCAGCGAGCGGATTTATCCTCAGGCTCAGGTGGGAACTTGCTTTCGTGCAGTGGCTATACGCGAAGCACGCTGCCTCCCTGGTCAACAGAAATAAGATAATCGAGGGGATATCACCAATTTGGAAAGCCACGTTGGGGAGTAGAACGAGAAAGACGGGGAGGGAGAATTCAGCTGATGGTTCAAGTCATCGGAAGCCTCTGAGGTGACGCAAAAGCAGGCAAGATCTTGCCGGGGTGAGACACCGTGTCACCTCTGCTGATATACAAAGAGAAGGTGACGTCTATGCCACCTCAATCTGTCCTTTGCACTCAGTCAGTTCACCACACCGGGCACCTTACGGTCCGCCACATACATAGACCAGACAGAGCTTAAGTGGTCCATATTTACGACTGTCATCGGAAGGTCATGCGGCTGGACATAGGATACTCACCGTATCTCATACAACATCACTGTGGATGGAGTTCAACTTGAAGTCCACTGTCTCCAATGAACTGACTTGGGTCGGGGCTCTGACGAACATGGTGCCCGGTCACATAATATTCAACATCGAACCCATCGTTGGTAGGTGTCAGTCACCCTCAGCGCTTTCCCCGGTACACAAACTAATATTGTAAGCAAATGCTTCTACAGCTAACCCTGTGCAACGCACCATGGAGATGGCTCTCCCACCTGCAGGCGCACCGCGTCCCTTAGTTACCAGCAACCCTTACTGGTAACCATTCAGCCTAACGCAAGAGCTCATCAACATACACCGTATCACGCGCTCGCACGGTTACACCCGCTCCGATCGCGGCAATGCCGCTCAAGCCTCCCCTTCTGCTCGTCGTCTTAGCCTTCCGGCAGATCGCAAGGGCGGTGCCCTCACTGTTGCTCCTTCCGCCTCTTTCCCTGGCCTACCGTTGTCCGGTGGTGCCGCTGCTGAGCGCGCTTCTCTTGGAAAAGGTATACAGCGTACTGGTTCGCCCGCGATAGAGTCAATCCTTTCCCGTCCCTCTGTTAGGGGAATCCCTTCCGTCACCGAGGGACCGAAACGCCAGCTCGAGGAAGTTGGTTTGGACAAAATTACTCCCACACCTTCAAAGAAGGCCAGAGTGAATTCTCTCAACAGCGCGGTCCTGGACTGGCCCCTTACTCGTTCTGTTCGAAGACCAGATCACTCTTCGCGTGTGTCGTCGTCATCTTGTTGGATTCATCCACCCGTTGTTCCTGCTCCGCTTCCGGGCGTTCTTCGTGTTCCCAATGTTATCGGTGCTTGCAAGCACCAGTGCCCCGCTTAGTCCGACGACGAGGTCGTCATAAGAAGCATTCGAGAACGTTGGATAAGAAGACCTGTGCCCGCAATGTAGCCGGAGACATTCGCACGGCAAGCCGGTAGTTCCCATCAGGCCCCCTTGGTGCCATCAATATGCTAATGCTGTTGTGATTAGGTTGCCGGGAAAGTTACCACATTGGATCAAATACTGCCAATTCCTGCAGACGACGGGAGGCGTACCACACCTTGACACCTTCATCATCAATATTAGACCTACAAGCTCAAGCACCTGTCACTGCTGATCATTGCGCTGACCTGGACTAGATCCGTCCATTGCTTGGAGTGCCATAAAGCCAGACGATGTATACCTTGACCCAGGCGCACGTGGCTGCATCCAACCTCTGCAAATACCGCAGCAGCTATTCAAACACTACCTCACTAGACTGAAAGCGAGTGGAATGACTTCAAGAACCATATGCATCAATATAAACAGGACTGATGACATGGCGTATAGCCGATGACAGATAAGGGTCCGCTGTACGGGCTGATTCACACACCACTGTGTGGATAGGTTGAATTCACACATCTGGAAAGTTCGGTGCCATCTGTACATTATTTACTTCATCACCGGCTACGGTTCGCTGCTCCCTACACTGGAGACAGTGCTGGCCTCCGGTCCTCAGGCCCAGTCAACACGGCCCAAGACTGTACGATCGTGGTCTTGTCGTCCGAATTGGCTCTTACAAGCATCTATCCACCCACATTCTTCACTGGATTCCAGGCCTTGAAGGCCGCTGTGACCGCAAAGGCTGCAAGGTTAACGATGGGTGGTCGCCATCAATAATCTCATTGAAGCATGTGGCCAGGAGAGACTTTGACCGCATTGAGGCCCAGCGACCCCGACACCGCCTCCCCGACGACACCGAACCCGAGGAAAAAGCTAAACTCCCCAGTGGGCGACTCGTTGACAACAACTACAGCCTTGGTACCCTCGCAAATAAACTCAAAACCGGACACACAACTAACTTCCTTAGCATACTTATGTCTACCGCAATCGTGCAGCCAGAACTCCCTGAACTACTCTTCCCTTCCCTTGACAAAATACCAACACGACAAGAAAACCAATACCATTACGAAAATAGGCATGATGGAGACTTTAGATCTGGCTCCTGGGGTTGATTTTTATTGATGATATCCATAAAGATGTGTCACCCAACGGCATATAGATTCGAATATGGCTCAATGAGCTGCCGAGTGTTGTGCAGATAGCGCTGTACCTCCAGTCTGAGATGGCTGCGGAGGATGAGTTGTCCTAGCTGGTGTCCAACACTTCGAACCGAAAGCATATCAGACGGTCCCCATTTTATGAGACTTCATACGGGGTCCTTTCTAGTATCTTCGAATAAGGTGACATAGGCATCACTGTAACGAATATCACGGACATGAACGCTATTTTATATCGGGGAAATGCCGAGGATCCACTATCTTAAAATAGTCTCGGCCCCTGACTTATGATTATCAAACAGCCCACCTTTTGACTCACATTATCCCAGATAAACATCTCATCTTCAACATTATCTCCATTCCATCTAACAAAGTAGTCATTAAGTCTACTCAATATACAATGACCAACCTCGTGATCCTCGACTTCGACGGCACAATCTTCGACACTCGCGAAGCAATCCAACACGCCGCAGCCCTAACCTTCACCACTCTCCTCCCCGACCACGAAATCCCCTATGCCAAAGCCCGCCGGCTGATGGCCACCGGCGCCGGGCTGTCAGAGACCTTCCGCGCGCTCCACCCCGATCCATCAACATTCAACGAGGAGGAATGGGTCGCGACCTACCGCTCCCTCTACGCGGCGCACGAGGAGAAATTCACGAAACCGTTCCCGGGTCTGGGTGAGCTACTGGAGGGGCTTCATTCAAGACGGATTGCCATTGCGATCGTGAGCAACAAGGCGGTTCCACCGATTAAGACGGCGTTGGAGCGGACGGGACTAGCGGAGTTCGTTCCTGAGGTGCTGATAATCGGGGATGGGACGCCGGGGGCGAAGAGGAAGCCAGACACGGCGAGTTTCGTGGAGGTGCTGGTGCCGCGGTTGAAGGGAGTATACGGGGAAGGGTTTGAGGTAGACCCTAGCAGGGTGCTGATGGTTGGGGATACGATTACGGATCTGAAGTATGCGCGCAATATCGGGGCGAGGGGATGTTGGTGTCGATTTGGGCAGGGCGATAAGGAGGAATGTGAATCGTTCGGGCCGGATTATGCGGTGGATTCGTTGGCGGATGTTCTTGAGATTGCGGTCAAGGAGTAGATGCAGAGGGATGGATGCAGATATAGTTGGCATTAAGCGTATGCCAAGTGGTATCCGCAGGCGCTTGCCGGGAAGTGAAGCAGCCTCTGAATCCGCGGGTCGGCGCTGTGCTCTAGATACATACAGATAGCCTTGCATTCGCCGCGGATCCGCCCCTCTACCCACGGCTGCCATTCGGACAGCGTACACATGAGGCCCATCCACTGCGCCAGGATCAGCAGCGCGGGCGGGTCCCTCTCCCTCAGGAGTGCAAGGAAATTATTCTCCAGTCTGCCTATGAAGGTCGCGCATTGAGAAGCATTCTTCAGATCCTTTTCCAAATGGGATATGGCTGCCAGCATTCGAAGAGGCTCATAGTACGAATTCGTCGATGCGGTGGTCGAGTCATCAATCCCACATAAATCAGCCAAGTCGGGATCAAGTCCGTCACGGCCCTGGGTAACACCCTCCTCGTACAACTGTACTTCTTCCTTGTGAGTCTGCTGAAACGCCGATGCCCAGATGCTGGACTGTATGGACGGGCCCGCGAGTTCGATGATGGTGCGGAGACCGCTCTGCAAGCAAAGCCAGTTCATTGCTCCGGGTGCGTTCGTCAGAACCCACGAATCGGTAGGTTCGAAGCGATCGGGGCAGAGGGACGTAATGCCCATGAACATGCAGGTTGACAGCAGAGCGTCCACATTTTGCGGAGAGACCTTTGACGATAGCGCGGCTTGATATGCCTGGATGGCTTGCTGCCAAAAATAGATTTCTGCGAGTCGCCAGGTTTGATTCTGGGGACGGATCCGGCTGAGATGGAGGCTGCCAACGCCCAGGATTGTGTACATTAGATGTGGACACTGAACACATTAGTACTTGCAAATATTCCTGTAGATAAGGACTCACTCCAAAGGCGACGCGAATCATATCGCTCTTCATAACGTGCCGTATGGAAGGATGGCCAACGGTGTCTGTTGAATACTTCATAAAGTGCTGAAACGCTACGATTGTTATGGGCCGAGTGTCATTGGCTGTTTTCAGTGCGCCAATGTCAAGACAGTCGAAGTCTGTCGCCAAAGCCTGATTGACCATCGATTCCAGATCCTTTAGCGACAGAGAGAATACGGTGCCGTCTGGTTCTTTCATCTTCTGGAGGTCCTGACTTTGGGGAGAACCACCATAGCTACAAGAAACCCCCAGCTTCTCGCATCTCCTGCAAAAAGGCCTAGTTTCGTCGCACTGCATACGTTACTATGACTATATTCTCGCACTCTGCGGTTGAAGCTTACTTTTACTCTCCGCCGCTTACAGGTGATGCAGCCTGCGCGGGACTTTTTATGCGGTCGTCGGGCATGATACGGAGGTGACTGGGGTCGGTCAGGAGGCGGTAGACGGAACACGGTCTGCCATGAGCGGATATCGACAGAGTTCGAGGTAATAACCTGGGTTGCAACCATATTGCTGTTTGATGTTGAGAAGGTTGATTTGGATGATTCTGGTCCAGCTCTAGCATCAGCATCGCCACTCTTGAGTCTCTGCCTTGTCGGCGATCACGTGGCATGAAATACGAGGGAATCCTCCAACTTAAATCTGCAAATAGTTCCCATGCTTGTAGGCATCCAGTATTTCATTTTCCCAGAATCAAAGGTTATTGGCTCGTCTCGTGAAAGGAGGGACAAAAGATGTGTCTCTTACAAGTGTGTGATGCGTTGTCCTATCCGGAGTCGGCTGATATATATTTGACAACAGGCTCCCTTGAAGCTCAAGCGATCAACGATTAACCAGGAAAAGGCTAATTCAGACCTCCAATAGACTAATACCCTAATTGGCTATTACTCAAATTCCGAAGATCATGGGCTGTCAACCGCGTGTTATTCGTCTCTCCAATCTTAGATGAGATATCTCAGCTCCCATCCACCGCGATGTATGCCATTGTCGCATCCCGCAGTGCAAAATGAGAACTAGGATTGTCAAATTTCTAAATTCATGCTGTCCTTTTGTTACTACCATGATGTTTTGAAACCCTCGAAATGGCTACTTTGGTCAACATAACGAGCTACTTAACCGAGGGCCACTAACCACCGTTTTTACTCCCTCAACTCCTTGCCTGCAGACTTTATCTACAGCTGTCTACGAGGTGAATGGGATACCGCAAACAACGACTACGGGCACTGGTCCGGTTGACCTGGTAAAACATGTTATCCAAATGGCACGATGCCAACCTCGCTGCTTCCTTCTCCCACATATTGAGGCACATACTGCTGTATGTCCACTTGTCTCAAGGAATTCACTGATGAACCTACTGATAGTCAAATAGATCCTCCAGGATTGTACCGCCCCAGTGCATGGGCCGCAACGGGCAATTATCCGGGTCATGGAATGGGATTGAGATAATAAGTAGCACCCGTGGAGCGATTTGCTACCTTCGGAGTGACCATGGCTTGACATAAAATGTATGCCTGTGCTTACTCGACTAGGAGCATGAGTTACTACGCCGGTGGTCATCAATGCAGCGGTGTCCTCCCTGCCAAGGGAACAGTCACGCTTGCAGCCTCTGGTATTACAGTCACCAGTACTCTCGGCGCCACTGACTGGCTACGCCGATGCGATTCCGCTCATTTGGGAGGCGTCCGACACTTCCCAAGTCAACGAGTGGTTCCAGATATCGACATCATCTTCATTTGGTCCAACTTCCGCTTCAACCCAGGCAAGTTCCATGGATCCTTCGGGTCTATGTGGGCTCGCACAAGGCGCAAAGATCGGGATTGGAGTTGGAGGAGCCCTCACCATAGGAGCAGGTGGATTCTTTTATATCCTGCCACGGCTTCGAAAACGGACAATGTATCGCACTCAGCCATTGTCGATCTGCCAGGCAGTCAAAAGCGGCGGAACTTGCTTCCTCAAGTCCACACTCGGAACTGGCGTCTCCATCCACGGTCAGATATGAATCAGATTGATGGGGGTCCGTTTTGTATTCATACTTTTCCTAGAAAGTAAAGTCCACAAAGGAGCAAGGCTGAACGTCGTCGAGGGTCCTTAACCAGGGACGATGCAACTGCACTGAGAAACTACCGTCGTGGTGCTCTGGAGGCCGTAAGGATACTGTGTGGCCCTATGCAGATTACTCGCACCTGTCGCCGTCGATTCTACTGCGAATCCCGATTTCGGGACTCTCCGAAAGCGGTTCCGTGCGGGTAGCGCCGGAAGGATGTTTGTTTTTTCGGAGATTTCCCTAGAATGCAATGTGCCGCTGTCATATCTATGCTGCATAGAATTCTTATCCAGCACTCTTCATTTCCTGCTATTGAGCTATTGTCGACACTTCTACAATCAAGACAATCATCAAGTCTAATATCCGCCAGATATATGATAAATGCGTCCTTGAGCCGAGACCCTTATTAGTCATGGCGAACATTACCCCACGGGAAAACGGCAAACTCCAGACTCCACTGCGGGGAGTCGGGGATGACCCCGATCAGGGTTTATAATGTCGGCCTCTCCATAATCTTAGTTGGAGTCCTCATGCGTCCTGAAAAGAAATTTGACAAGCGGCATGGGGACGATCGAAAAGGCGGATACTCGCTCGCTACAACAGGATGAAGCGGTCCCGGTACAAACAGGACAAGATGGCGTTGAGGTCGTCGAGCCAGTGGCAACGGTGCCAAATGGAGGATTACAAGCGTGGCTCAGTGTGCTCGCTGGGTTCTGTGTGTTCGTAAATTCATGGTAGGTCTACCAGGCCATTCACGGTGGACCCGAGCTGATGAACAGGGGAATTCTTGCTTCGTATGGCGCATTCCAAGAGTATTATCAGACGGTACTGCTGACATCGCAGTCGCCGTCGTCCATTTCCTGGGTGGGCAGTGTGCAGGCCACATTGATCGTCATGGTTGGCGTCGTGACTGGTCCGCTGGTTGATTCGGGATATCTGCGAGTTCTGATCACGGTTGGAATGATCCTCGTCGTCTTTGGGATCATGATGACCAGTCTGGCGACGCAGTACTACCAGGTAGGTCATCCTCCTCGTCAACCTTTCCCCTGGCTAACTCTGCAGATCCTCCTGGCCCAAGGCTTCTGCGTCGGTATCGGCGGCGGCATCGCCTATATCCCAGCGATGGTAGTCATCTCGAGCAACTTCACCACAAAACGGCCCATCGCAATCGGCTGCGCGGCCATCGGCTCCAGCGTCGGCAGCGTCGTCTTCCCCGTCATGTTCCGCCAGCTGCAACCGCGCATCGGCTTCCCCTGGACAGTCCGAAGCATCGGCTTCATCAATCTGTTTTTAGGGCTCATGACCATCCTCATCCTCTGCCGCAAACCAGGCAAGAAGACCCGCGCCCGCAGCATGATCGAATGGCGCGCCTTCACCGACCTCCCCTTCATGCTCTTCTCGACCTCCCTCACCTGCGTCATGCTGGCATACTACATCCCGCTCTTCTACGTCCCCTCGTACGCGCGCACCCAGCTGCACACCACCCGCAGCCTCTCCTTCTACATGGTCGCCATCATCAACGGCGCCTCCGCCTTTGGCCGCGTCGTCCCCTACCTCCTCAGCGCGTACATCCCCCCGATCGCCATCCTCTGGCTGGGAGTCGCGGGCTCCGCACTCGCCATGTTCACCTGGATCGCAGCGACCAATCTTCCCGGCTTCATCGTCTGGGCCTGCTACTGGGGATTCCTCAGCGGGGTGCTGGTGACGGCCCCAACGGCGATCATCGGGCATCCGGCGCTGTGTCCGGACCCGAACTACCTGGGAACGCGCATGGGGATGATGTGGGGGATCAGTTCGTTTGGATCGCTGGTGGGGACCCCTATCGCGGGGGCGCTGGTGGATTTATCGCAGGCCAATTTTCTCAAGGCGCAGGTGTTTGCGGGCTGTTTGATGGTGGGAGGGGTGATGTTGCAGTTGTGGCCGGTTCTGGTGGTGATGAAACATGACCGATCCAACCTGAAAAGGTAACCATACGGCAGCGCACCTATCTCGATGCAAATAGATGATAATAATAGTTCTAGTCTGTAATAAAATTATGGGGAACATAGCCCTTTCCTTAGCGCCGCGCGAAGTGGACGGGGCGATGCAACCGGCGTTTTTGGCCGGGTCTTATTGGTGTCCTTCTAGCAGAATGTCTCGCTTCAAGGGATGCTGGTTTCAGTTTTTGAGCCTATGTTTCGCAACCTATCATCATTGGTTTTAAACCCGTCCGCCCCTTTTTTCGATCTTCTGGTTCTGGTTCTTTTCCCTTTGTCGGCCGTTGTCAATCTTGACGATCGCATCTGCATCTGCATCTGCATCACAGTACAACAGTACAACAGCACAGCAGCAGAGCACAGTGTCAAGTGCTACCGAAAAATGGCGATTTTATTACGGAGAGATTGCGACGCGAGTGCCAACTCGGCCAATTGCGAGAAACCCGTCAGCGATTTCCTCAAGACAGGGGTGCCGGGGATTATCGTGGGAATGTACGTTCACTTGCTCTAAGCTGAAGGAAAAATGTCCTCCGTACTGATTTTTCTATTGACAGACTTGTCCTAATTGCCATCTGCGTATGCTGCTATCTCCTCTACCGGAATAAGAAACAAGACGCGCGCGAGGCGGAGGATGCGCGTCGTTGGAACGTCGACAAATAACCTCCTCCTTACCCATTACCACTGAAAATCGCCCTACACCCACCAGCTACCGTATCCGATCGCATATATTCGACATATTTCCTTGACAAGTGAATAAACTGTGCCTGGAGCACACGCAGCGCTGTTACACTAGAGGCTAGCGCACGACATAATGACTATTGGCGGATGGACAAGGCACAAGACAAGGCCACTAGACTGAGCAGGTCTCATGTACATTACTGGTCACTGACTGCTTTACCTTACCCACCGCACTGCATGCATTGTATATACATTACTCCATCTCATCGCAGAGAACAAACTACTGCACCACAAACTGCGCCTTATGGCTCTTATACAACGTACTCGAATCCAGGACCTCGCCGGTATTCGACCGGATGAAATCCACCTGCAAGTTCGTGCGATTCAGAAACCGCACCGCCGCATAGGAATAGTCAGCGTCGTATGCAAAGGCGGTATACGCCGGTTTCGAGCCAACACTGCTCAACCCCTCGATGTTGCCCGCTCCGCCGGCAACGATGTACATCGGCGCGGAGGGGTCGTTCATCCCCTTGGAGTCCGCGGTGCCGTTCACGACGGGCAGGAAGCGCTGCGAGTTGTGCACGTGTCCGAAGACGCCGAGGTCGACGCCGTATTTGTATAGCAGGCCTTCAAAAGCGGCTTGGCAGGGCGCGCAGCCGCTGCCGCCGGTGGTGTACCATGGTCGGTGGCCGGCGACGATCACCCAGGGGGTGACGGTGCGGTCGACGCTGGCGAGATCGGCGGCCAGAAAGTCGAGCTGTTGGGTTGCGCCACCAAAGGGCCCGCCGTTGAGGCCGGCGGAGCCATCCGGGCCGTCGGGGGCGTCGGGGAAGTCGGTTTCGGTATCGATCATGACAATGTGGGCCATGCCGTACTCGAAGGAGTACCAGAAGGGTGGGTTGGAGAGGGATTTGGCCTTGGAGGCGAGGGATTGTGCGGTTGTGCTGGACGAGGACGAGGCGAAGGATCTGGGCATGGTGTTGGCGAAGCGGTGCATGAAGTCGGTGAAGTTGCGCTGGCCTTCGGGGCAGAGGCCGGAGGTGTATGGGATTTCAGTACAGTCTGCTTCGTGGTTGCCTGGGCTGGCCATGTAGGGCTTGCGGCCGGCGATGGGGGCGAGCTGGTTGTAGAACTGCTCCAAGATCGACTGATACGAATCCTTGCCAGTCAGGAGATTATCGACACGCAGATACCAATCGTCAGCATATGCAGTATCTCCCGGATGGATTACGAGCTCGTAATCATCGATTGTGCTGGCTAGTCGTCCGATGGTGGTGTGGTTGAGCTCGGGTTGGATGTACGGGATGTCCGACTTTTTGATTTTCTTCGAAGCAACGGTGTACCCGTCCTTGCCATACACGCCAAGATCAATGACAACATCCATGCTAAACGGAGTAGTATCACCTGGAGTGCGAGGACTGAGGAAATGGTTGACTGTCGAGTTGCCCGAGACGATTTTGTAGTAGTACGTGGTTGCGGGGGTCAGGCCGGTCAACACCACCACGTTGGAGTACGTGCGCGAGGTGGCATACGTCGTCGAAATGGACGAGCAGGCCTTGGAGGTTAGGGCATTACTCGAAGTGCCATACTGGACGCAGCTCTGGTCCAGTTTCTCATATGTGTTCCATCCAATTGATACAGCTGGGTTCGTCAGATCACGTGTCGCGGTTGGGTCGGGGTCTTACCATTAGGACCATACACAGCAAGGCGCTGCTGGAACGGGGTCGTCAAGTCGCTGGGAATAGGAGGATAATCAACGGCAGCCAATGCGCCAGTCGCAAGGACGGACAGCGCCGTGATCACAGGAGTATTTCTCACCATATTGCCCACTGCAGTCGGAGTTTGCTACTGCACTCCGCTCGATACAGCGGGCTGCCATTTTGCTTAAATATTTCCATAGTAAAATCAGCATCAATCAAGCATGTGAAGAGACAGAATATGTCCATCAATCACAGTGATAGACATGATCACGCCCTCGGCCCGCATAATCTGCATTGTCACGGCGCACTATCAGGCGGGAGAGTGGGACTCCGACGGAGAAAATCAAGGTTGCTAAGAAGCCAAAGAGATGTCGCCGAAGCCACTCCGATGGTAATAACGGTGCAGAACCCACTCTAGCGTCCACGTGCATCAGAAACAGTCTGTCAATGATCAACACAAGTGAATCATATTCTTTCTATTGCTGATGCTCTGCGGGTGAATAACCGAGGCAGTGCCGATCCGTATCTGTATCCGTTCGAGGCGGAATTGACCAATTGACGACTACGAGGTCCGCAGTTAGTAATGAAGATACTGCAAACCTCCTGCTACAGCATCGAGGGTGAAGAGTCAAGAATACAAGCTTTGCCAGGAAGCTTTCTCTACGACTCGTCATCTTCATCTCTGATGCTTGTCTTATGTCAAGTTCTAAGGTCAACTACCGGGGGTTTGATTCATGATCTGCAGGAACCGCGACATAAACTCCACTAATTGTAGCCGAGCAAAGTAATCTAGATGACTGGACAGCGGATGGAAAGGTGAATCCGAGATCCACCCTGACAGGTACTTACCTCCCTGTACTTTGCCTAGACTCTGTAGATGGCACATTGTTCCCGTATATAACCTGCTGATGGGGAGAGGCAACAGAACGTGTGATAGAGCCCCATCTTGACTGGACTAATGCCAATTGAATTAATATACGATCATGCAGAGATATATTGGTTGTATGAAGGTCCTCCCTCATCTAAATGCTTTTTGTCCTAGTCACTGCCGCGAACAATCCACTTGCATATATCATATCAGTGTATGGAAAAATCATACTATGGATTGCCTGACGACTCCTACTGCAGAATATCTTCTGTCAGCGTCTTGATAATATAGACAATACGAACATATCATTACTTCCCTATCTTTTTAATACTATTCCTAATGCTTGTATACTATCTCTAACTCTTTATTACTACTCTGTTCAGAGCAGGATCTTTAGAATACGGCCTTGAATCATTAAGATATAGAGACTTTGGGCCGATTGATTATATATCGAGAGGAACTACTTCCAACTTAGAAGCCACCTATACCTAACACAACGCAGAAGCTTCCAAATTAACAGCTAAGCGATTTTCCCTATCACAAGATCGGATTCAACTTTCAAAGCTGCCTTGGCCTTCTGCTAGGACTAAAGGTGTCTGCATTGGACAAAGTAGAGCCTATTGCCATATGCTCCCCTGCATATTACTCTACTTTCTATCCCTCCGTTGGGGAGGAAGTTGTGGTGCGGAGACCTGACAACTCCTGATAGAACCAAAGATTTTGTCCCTGGCATATCTTCACATTGCTTGCCTGTATACAAGTATACTATAAGATGCAAGAGAGAATTCACATATACTGCATCTATGATTTTCTGCTCCACGGCGTCCTGATGGCGGCAAATACTCTGCAGACTCATCTCACAGGCTCTTATATGCAGTGAGGAGGACTTAGCTAGTCAGCTATTTGTCCAACAAGTCAAATATTTAGATATAATGGTACCTTCACTTTCGGCAGTCTGGAATATAAAGCGTAGGATTATCAATAAAATCATAACTCTGCCGTTGTATGTCTACAAGGCCTACTATATTTTTGCATCACTAGGATGAATGTAGAATGAGATGGGACACTAAGCAGGGCTTTATAGTTGAAAATACTGGTGTTTGTTTATCCAAGGCCATATATCCAGGTACTAGTACAGTTATATACAAAGATAGATTCAGAAAGTTATAGGGCTGACTGTACTCCATATATACATAACAAAGAACAGAAGTTTATTTATATATAGGCTAAGTAAAGTACCATGGAATCATACTCCATACACAAACAAAAGCATAAAAGGGGCATTAGTACTAGTACTTCAAATGTGGAGAAGACCATTCTCGACGTGGTCTCATTAATTGTAAGCCAAGCAGGTATTTGGTTCGATGGAGACAACACGCTAAGGGAGGCGCTAATTACAGCCTACAGATTTAGCCCAGAGTCAATGGAATACTCGCTGGAGATCTCGTCCCTGTAACATTTTTTTTTCATTGCAGAGGGAAACAGGAGGCAGAGATAAGGAAGGTTAGGACAATTGATGTTGCGGCCGCAGGGCTTTTCTGTTTGACTTAGACTTCACCTTCCACAGCAACTATCTAGTCTGGACCTTGGGAGGAAGTCTGGTGACAGGCTGACAGCTACCTCAGCCGCAGGTGCAACGCCACGTTTCAGCCGCTGCTGGTGAGATCGGAGGTACCCCGTAAGGAGTGGGGATGGTGCCTACTCCCTGAGTAAGCCAGACAGATCAACAATAACTCCAACGTAAACAGTCCCACAATACCTATTACTTAGACACGGTAGCCATCGATCCGGGCTCGTACTGTCACGATGCCAAGGTGCTGGTTCTCATGTGGGAGTCGCAAAGACAAGGAGCATGACACTGCCACAAGGAACGAAAAGCCGGGTGCCTCGAGCAATGGGTCTTCTGAGAGACAACAAGCTGGCAAGAACGACCGTGAGGGTGGCCCAGCAACAAAGCAGCCAGAGGCGGCCGTTGACGGCACTTCGGAGCTTACCACCTCGCAGATTCTCTGGAATGAAGCATATGACAGCCTGAAGGTAGAGGAGGCGGCTCTTGTGAAGTCGTATGTGAGGGTAATGGCAAAGACCCTCCAGCCGGAGGGCACTGGGACAGCGGACGGTGTCCTGGCAGAAATGGATGACCCAGTGGAACGACAATTAGCGATGGAGAAGCTGGTGAGGGACGGTGTGCAGAAGATCGCGAGGACGTCAGCCGTCGCAACAGGGGTCGGCATTGTGGCCGACGGCTTCTTGAAGGCCAAGGGCTTGATTGACACCGCGATCGGGAATATTCCACAGGCTGCTCTGCCGTGGGCTGGCGTCTGCGTCGTACTACAGGTGAGTGAGCTTGGCTTGTCAGAGGCCCCTTGTAGTACTATTTCCCCCTGACACCCGTGCAGGTCCTCATAAATCCGATGCAAGCCTCGCAGGCGAACCAAGCCGGCATGGAGTATGTGGTCGCCAACATGGATTGGTATTGTAGTTTGTCCGAACACATTCTGAGCAAGGAGTACATCAAAGTTGGAGAGGAGAACTACGAAGGAGTCCGGGATCAGTTGAACAGCACGCTTGTCAAACTCTACAAAGCTCTGCTCTTGTATCAGATGAAGAGCGTCTGCTCCTACTACCGAAACCAAGTTGAAGAGTTCCTTCGTCAGATGCTCAACTTGCAAGACTGGGATGAAGTTTGGAGGATGTCAAGAAAGCCGAGACCGTGGTCAAAGATTATCTGAAGCAGTTTACCACACTCCAAATGAGGGACATGACTGGCAAAATCGTCAAGGATGGGGAAGAGAGGAATGAGCTTCTGGGCGGTATGCGTCAGGATATTCGGCAGCAAAACGATGATCAGAAGAAGATGCATTTGGACGATGAGACCGCAAAATGCCTCCGAGACTTCGATGCAGTCGACCCTCAGAGTGAGATGGACGATATTGAAGCGCGCAAGGACACACTGCTTAGGGAAGCCTACGAATGGGTGCTCCGGACGGAGCAATACGCTGCCTGGATAAACTGGGATGTCCAAGATCCATGTCGTTTGCTGTGGATCAACGGGCCAGCTGGCACGGGGAAGACCATGCTCTTGATCGGCATCATTCGGGAACTCGAGGAACAGCTGGGGGCCAACCTGACATACTTTTTCTGCCAGAGTGCCTCTCAAAACCTCAAAGACGCAACTTCCGCTCTGCGATCCTTGATCTGGTTACTCCTGCAGCGACAACCACAGCTCACCTCCCATCTACTGGCCAAGTACCGAAGCGGAAGCCGATTCAATGATAGTCAAGCCTTCTGGACGCTGAAGAGAGTGTTCCTAGAAATGCTGGCTGACGAAAGCTTCTCGCCCGTCTACCTGATCGTCGACGCTCTGGATGAATGCGAGGAGGGAACACCGGGGAGAGAACATTTGATCGAGCTCATGTCAGAGTCCCTCCGCGCAACAGACAAGGTCAGGTGGCTAGTCTCCAGTCGGCCCGAGGTCCACGTCTACGAGAAGCTCAAGGAGCGGGACGCGCCAGGCACCATCCGCGCGCTCGACGTTCGGAGCAAAGACGCTGTCAACGCATACATCGACCACCATCTGAGTAAGCTGGCTAAAAGGCCGGGATACACACCAAAGATTCAAGAGGAAATCTCACGCGAGATTCGTCAGCGAGCCATGAATACGTTCCTGTGGGTGGCCTTGGTGTTCAAAGAGCTCCAGAATACTCCTGGATTGTATGCCATGAGAAAGATTAAGAAATGCCCTAATGATCTTCTCACACTATACGACCATCTGATGAACCAAGTTGAGAGGGGCCAAGATGAAGATCCCATGTATTGCCGGAGTGTTTTGGCTGCTGTTTGCCTTGCCTACCGGCCACTGTCTTTCGATGAGCTGCACGTCATCGCTGGCCTGGACCCAGATGACATACCGGGCCGAATTGTGAAAGAATGCGGCTCGCTCCTGACAGTTCAAGACAACACCGTCTCTCTTGTGCACCTCTCAGCCCGTGAATGGCTGATGTCAAATTTCGAGGCACGGCTCCAGAAGCGCGGACCCGCGCAAGTCCATGCTGACATCTGTCAACGCTCAATCGCAGGAATGTCTGCAGAAGAATCGGGGCTAAAGCGCAACATTTGCGGCATCGAGGAAGGAACCCAATCAGACGATATCGTGATTCCTTATCCAGATCCACTAGCTGCTCTACGGTACTCGTGCGAGTTTTGGGCCGATCATCTTCTCGAAGTTGGTCAAATCTCGGACGAGAATTGTCAATTGTTCGCTGATGACGGGGAGATCTTTTCTTTTCTCAAGGTTCATTTCCTCCACTGGCTCGAGAGCTTGAGTATCATGCATAAGCTGGCCAGTGGACAATTGTCCATCATAAAACTCAACAATTATATGAAGGAAAGTAGCCCACTCAGCAGTCACATGCACTATATCTAACTAGGATTGCAGTCTTCGTCGAGCAAAGGCGTCAAGTTCGCTAGTGTCTTGAAGGACGCTGAAAACTTCGTCCGCAGGCATCGGACGACCATCGAACAGTACCCACTACAGACATACGGAACTGCGCTTGCGCTCAGCCCCACAAGAAGCGACGTAAGAAACATGTTCTGGAAGGAGAGGCTGTCATTTATCGAGTCTGTCCAAGGCGTCGGTGACGCGTGGAATGCTTGCCTGCAGGCCTTTGAACCCCCGACATTCCGGCTCCCCTCGGTCGCTTTTTCACCGGATGAAAAGGTCCTCGTTTTGGCTACATCTGGGCGACTGCAGCTGTGGGACCTTGCAACTGGTGGCTGCAAGCGAGTTCTGGAGGAGGGCGATGAGGATCATGAGGTTTACGCAGTGGCGTTTTCACCAGATGGTAATACCCTTACTACCGTTGCGCAAAGTGCAGTGCGGTTCTGGGATGTTACCACCGAGGCTTGCAAAATGACCCTCGACTTTCCAGATGGTTCCATTTCAGCAGCGGCCTTTTCACTGGACGGTGCATGTCTTGCTGTGGCTTCCGGTAGAACAGTCGGTCTCTGGGATACCGCTGGCATGGTATGTGACAAGACTCTAGAGGATGTCGCCGACTACAGCTTGACATCCATTGCATTGTCGCCAGACGGCAAACTTCTTGCCGCTTGCACAGACAGGGAAGTGCAGGTATGGGATATTGCTGCTGGGGCAGTGAAACAACAACTACCCAAGTCTCCGGAGCATATCCACTCCGCGGCGTTTTCGCCGGATAGCAAGACTCTCGCATTGTGTTCTTGGAAGCAAACGGCGATTTGGGATGTCGAAAGCGCGACTTTCAGCCACGAATTGAACGAAGACTACTTCAACCCTTTTAATGGGTTCACGGCAGATGGCCGGTTCGTCGCTCTCAATTCGTTTGGTAAAGTGCAGTTCTGGGATGCGGCAGATCCCATCTGCAAGCAGATTCTTCAGGGCCGATTGAGAGGCGTTAGATCAATCTCTCGCTCACCAAACGCCAACTATCTCGCGTCCGTTGAACCCACCATGTCTGTGAGACTCTGGGACGGCTCAATTTGCGAAGCGGAACAAACCTCGCCAGGGCTTAGCGCTTCAGTCAGTTTCTTGTCCTCCTCTCCGGACGATACCGTTCTCGTGTGTGTTGCAGGTGGCACCATGCAACTCTGGACCACCGACGGTGTCTGCACACATACACTCACGCACCCCACTGGAAGCGCCGGGTCCGTCACTTTTTCTCCAGACGGCAAAACCTTTGTATCTATCGCGGGGGATGACACCGCCTGCGTGTGGGACGTTGAGACGGGCAGGCTCCTGCACACCCTCAAACACTGCGTGGGGGAATGCATTAAGATGGTGGTCTTCTCTCCAGACGGTACTACCCTCGCTGGTGGCAGCGTAAATACGTTACAGCTTTGGGATCCCGTTACTGGATCCTCTAAAAACAGTTTCGAGGGCTTCTCGATCCACGATGCATGCTTCTCCCCCGATGGGAAGTTCCTGGCCGCCTCCTCATCCCGGATGATCTTCCTGCTGAACATAGCCACCGATGTCCAACAGACTCTCGACAGCCCCCACCAGGATGACATTCTTGAGGCAGCCTTCTCGCCGGACAACAAGATCCTAGCCTCTTCGTCCGTTGACGGCATGTTATGTCTCTGGGATACTGCTACCGGAACCTGCACCTATACCTTCGAGCTCGAGGGAGAAGCAATGTGTGCGCTGTCATTCTCCGACGACGGCAAATTCTTGTTGACGAACCTGGGACGCCTGAACCTCGAAGATGGCTCTGTCAGTCCGCAGCTGCCAGCATCCGAGGAAGGACTGGCATCTCCCCCGGTGTCTTCTGACAGGCAACGTGCAGTCAAAGATGCATATGCATGGCCTGTAATTGACGGGCTGAGATATGACGGCGAGTGGGTGATTCGGGAGGAGAAGAGTCTTCTCTATATCCCTGCGGGTCAACGACCTGCACATCCATGGCACACCTGGAAGATGTTCAAAAATATTCTTTTCATCGGTGATGGGTCGGGTCAAGTGACGTGTTACAAGTTTTCGTTTCCGTCTTCCTGATTAAGGAGTTCGTTGGTATTTCGGACAACAAAGTGAACAGAGCCTTGGTGAAATCCAGACTCTATAATTATCAACCAATACGGCCCAGACTCTAGGGCTAGAAGCATCTTATAAACCTGGCAAATCATGCGCGAGATGATGATGATATAGCGCATCACCTCCTCGACATCCACATAATACAAGTGTTTACACCTATAAACCTGGTTCAGAGAGCAGCCTGCATGCCATCAATGTCCAGGTGCGTAAATGCCACCACTTGCTGGTGCATCCCTTTTCCGGATGGACGCGGGGACTGTGTCCAGCGCCCGGAATTTTCAAGGAGCATACCTAAATTGGTCAGATGATGCTCTCAAGCAGCAGATAATGCTAGTGTAGTCATCATTACTTCCTCATAGGCCTGTCATATGTTTCATGTAAGAAATTCCGCACTGTATGGACTGTTCTTGCGTCAATCTCCGAAAAAGAGGACCATGTCTGCAGTTACTGCAGAAGATACAGTGCTAATAGAGTAAAATGCCCATTCCACTGGTCTTTGTCAGTTGCAAATATTGACTTCTTCCATGAAACCCAGTGTTAGGTAAGCAGCTGCCTAGATCTACCTGATCAGCCCTTCTCCTATTGGTTCAGTCCCACATTGAATCATGGAAGCATTCTGTGAACCTTCATTTTCCATCAATGAGTCCTCCACCATCCAATTCAAGACACCATGGCACGAACGAAGCAAGTCGCGTTTGGACGTCGGTATAACCACAAGCCGAAAGTCTTCCGCGATCATGGGGGAAACAGCTATACGGTGATTGGAGGAACGCCGAGCTCGTGCTCCAACCCATCGACCATCACTAAACTGAGCATCCACTTGTATACTCTGTCCGAGTTGGAAGAGACCCCAGAGGAACTTGGCTCCAAATTACTCGGTAGCTATGGTATTATAAACTGTGGAAATCTACATAATTACTGGCCCCGTGTAGACGTCTACTCCCCACTGGGAAGCATCGAAGAGTGCATGGACCACCACCGCGCGGAGAAGATCTACAGGAAACACGCCCTGGAGGAAATGCACAGGGAGGCAAGGGCTTCAGCCGATAACGAGGAGGACGCCGAGGAAGCCGTGCGGAAGTTACGCGGGAAACAGCCCTTGCCGCATATCGTCCCGACCTGGGCAAGTACAGAGCGGTTCTGGACTCAGCATTCCTACGGTCATGACTGGCGATATCGCAGTTTTGTTCTCGTTGTACCTTGGGACTGTCGATGTTGGGATGATGTTGAGGAGAAGGGGCTGTGGGTAGTGTGCTTTGATCAGGATGTTACGCCGGCGATGGAGACGCATATGTGGGATTGTGTGCGGGAGGAAGACTGGCAAGTCGACAATGGAGAGGGATGGGTCGAGATTGAGAGGGTAGAGTATGGACCTCCGGTTCGCATTGAACGTGTGTCGGTTTACAGGGAGGACCAGGAGTGTGGTCAACGCAATTCGACCATTACTGGTAGTTTGTGCGACATGTGGAGTCGGATCATACGAGTGCTGAACGATTGTACATATCGACGCCCAGTGTGCCCTGGTTGCGCAGAGGACGCTCCTCATGAGTGTGAGTTTGATATGTAAGTATCCCTGTTTGCGGAGGGTCGACTTCTCGAGATGACTGACTCTTCAGGGATGAGCACTTCTTTGATGAAGATGCCGAATGCGTGGCCTGTCGGCGGGCATCCAAATATCGACGCAGGAGCAAGAGGTTAACACATAAGCGAAAAATCGGGAGATTAGTCAATAATGGACACGAATCATAGGGATATATCAACCTTTATAATGCAGTTATATTGCATAGCTTGTGGCAAACTCAACCCCTATCCTGGAAGGCATGGTAATATAACAGCATTGACGAAATCAAAGCAATCTAGAAACCACTGGCTGAAACTTAGTGATCTTGAATAAGTCATAGTTAGAGACTGATCATTGCCAGAACCTAGCACCCAGCAGGACAAGGCATAGTGCGTTGAACTATATCAATCCAGTAGACGGACTGGTAACCTCTGGAGACTATATTCAGCATTGCCGAAGGAACGCACTTTGACTCGCGAGTATCCCTGTCGAGAGATTAGACTTAGATGATGTCACTCAACTTGGTTAGAATGATATTCACTTTGAATAACAATATGCAGCCTGTCCAGGATTGAGTAGACTTTTGGCAGTGAATGTAAGCTTTTTAACAGGTTGCTCTAGTGAATGCCCTACCTCCCTGAGCCTGAAACATGTATCCCTCCCTTCCATATCATCATCTTTACCAACTGTTCAACCATGTCGTCCAAATTGATTTTCAAGATCAAAACATCCTCATAGATTGAACCCATTAAATATGTTTCTGATACTATTTCAAGTCTGAACTGTCATGAAGAGATTGACTACAAGCTCATCTCTGAACCCTGGGTGGACGCTGGGGAAATCAGCAAGAGTTTGGACAGCTCTGGAATTCGGTACGTCAGGTCATTCTATTGTTCTGATCTCAGCTAACCTTCCAGAATAAACTTGACCCAGTGACAAAACGAACACATTGTGGCTTCAAATGAATCAGTTGATCGAATTCTTTCTTAGAAAAACCACGACTTTATACTGAGTGTTATACAAAACATTCTTGCGTTGGACGCAATATCGAGTCCTGGATTGCTGGGCGTACCGGCAAACAGCAGAATCAAAGGCAAAAGGCAACAGTGAAGAACAGGCTATGCAACTAGCCCAAGGAGGTAAGTATGCACTTGCTCGACACACGAAATATGTCCTCGGTGGTAGCAGCCCCTGCGCGGTTCTGGGTTGTACTTAAACAACTTTCCTTGGCTCATGGACTGCTCGTGCGGACATTTGAGCTGTCCAGTTTTAATCCCGAGTATATATCGACGGGCTCTATGACGAGACTGCCTGGGAGGACATACTGGCGGACTACGCTGCAGAAATGGCGAAATGGCGAATTTGCCAGGAGGAAGCGTTGCTCGTACCAACTGCCAAGCCGGTAATAAAGGTACCATGGGTGCTGGAGGCCACCTCCAATGGACCATTGCACTCCAACGGTGGGTGGTTCTGTCGGATGTGTAAAAAGACATACCAGCGATCTGGCCAATTCCAGCAACTCTGCCTGCTTCTGATGAGGAGCTTCGAAGTCGCCTGTGGTCATTGCAACAAAGTCGGTTATGAAGTAAGCTATACACAGCCAAACGGCACAAAAATGTGCAATGCATGCCACCAGCATGCAAAAGCCTTGGGGGCATCCAAGGCACATGTCCACGAGTTGTTTGGCCGGTGTGCCTGTGATGGTTGCCCCGTCACAGGCAAAGACCGGCTGAAGCGTATCCGCAAAGAGGATGGCCGCAGGATCTGCACCAGGTGCTCCAACCAGCTGAAGACAATGATGTTGACATAACCGCTCTACTGAGCACCCCTGAGGCAGTCAACATGGACAGCCTTAATGATATCAATCGGGAACTGGAAAGGCTTAAGGACCTGGCCGTGGAGTATCCAGAGTTGAACCAGAACGAAAGGTTCACTAGGTTCAGTCGGTTGCTAAGTCAACAGGACCACCTCAACCATATCCTTACCGAGCTTGCTACGGCTACGCATGAAGCAGAAACCATCCTGGACATCCCTCCTAGCTACCGCGGTCTTTCCCCTGATACAATGGACCCTCACAAAGAGGAAGCATTTGGCCCCCGCGAGAGAAAACCTCAGATGCCCCATGTGCCTACGATGATGCTTCATAACGCTCCGGAAACCAAAGTCCTAACTGAGGACGATATACTACTGACTGCAACTCAACCTCCGAAATTCCGGAGCAGGTGATAGGTAATCATCAGCATGACCACCCAGCCGATTGAGAAGAATACACAACGTATCCCTGACACACAACCCGTTTCCAATGTTCTCCGACCTAAGCCAGAAGGCGAGATGACAGAGTCTGTCCTGCACTGGTTGCCCCAGAAAGGGGCAGGGCCCACATTGGTCCCCCAGGATAATGGCACATATATGTGCAATACCTGCGATTCCTGGGCCAAGAACCACAAGGGCGAACGGCATTGGAACTCGGATGGGTCAGAGTCCAAGGATAGGGTCTGCCAATGTCCTGGTTGTCCCAAGAAGGGCGCCGGTGTCTCCTGGGCAAAATGGCCAGATGGGAACCATGCTTGCCGCACATGCTGGGAGTATCGGGGGAAGAACCCGGACGATTGGCAAAACCACGACCACTCGCTATTCAGAAAACGATGCCGCAAATAAGCCGGCGATACATGTGGACGGGCGTGGAATAATGAGGAGTTCTAAAAAGTGGTTTCTATTGCATGGTTTCTCTAATATAGCTAAGGATATCAATATAGTTTAGTCATGAGCATTATCGTGCCATTGCTGCTGTATTGACCCTTCCGCTATCATCCCTACTAGCTAGAGATGGTTCTCTGGACACCTTTTGGCTTTTGTCGGGGGGAGGGGAGGGGGGGAATCAACTGGCGCAAGTTTGATTTCTTCTAGGTTGTTGCCTTCCATTTCGCTTCCCTAGTGGATAATGTACGCTTCGAAAATCAGAGAGGTCAAGCACTTTATACCCCTAAGACCAGAACTCCAGACGTATCTGGTACAGCAAAGCAGCTTCGGAGACAAAAGGGTCTAGCACTTTATCAACCCAGAGGCACCAATCGTCATCAAACCGTAACGCGCAATAAGCAAGGCAATACTCCCAGTAAGCTGGATACCAGCCTGACTTTTCCCAGTCAATAACCACGACCTGCAGCTTAGCGCTATCGTCGCCGGCATCGCCTTCCTTAGCTTGCAGCATTATGTTCTTCCTTTAAAAGTCACCATGAATGAATGTTGGGCGCTGATCATGGAGGACACGTGGTAGACAGTGGCGAAGGAAGTCCGCTCTAATTGAAGGCCCAAAGGCGTGGGTATGCTCTCTGGCCATCGCCTCGAAGAGGTCTTCATTGGTGGTGAACGGACCATTGATGGCCGGATCTGGTTCCCCTGTCCAGAATATCCCGTTGAGGAGAGGTCGTTTGCTCAGACTGCCCCAATAGCTCGGCGGCGGAAGCTGTCGTAGCTCAGTAAAGTATTGACGCAAGGTACTGACGACAGTCTCCTTTTCGGGGAGGCCTAACTGCAGCCATGATGATAGGAGGCTTTGGCCAGCAATCCGTTCCATCACGATGTATTTCTTTCCAGTATTCGTGCTTGTATAAAGCGCATAGACTCGAGGGACACGTATGCTCGTGTTATGACAAACAAATATCATATTCTCTCCCTCAAGCAGGTCTACAGCCTCTCCAAACTTCATGATAAAATTGGGCTCAATTATAACAACTCTCCGTTCTCCATATTGCTCGGCAATATCGGAAGCCTCATTAATTTCAGCTTCTGTAGGCAGTTAGCAAGGCAAATCAACCGCGTAGTACGGTAGACTGATCGTGGTAGTCACTTCTGGTAGCTTGTTGGTACAGGGATACATAGGAAGAGCTAACTGCGGGGTGAAGGAGGTTTGAATTCATTATACCGGCTTGTGATGATACATTGATCCCTCCCGCCTAAGGCGTATGTAAAACACTGCAGCCCAACTGCGACAATCCCCCAGTAAGGTTCCAAATTCTCCAAGATGATTTAGGGACCGTTGCAAACCCATTTCGCGGCATACCTTCGGCCTTGGATACTTATGTCTCAGTATCTTCTGGTGTACTGGTTTCTCATGCAGAGTGCAAGTTCGAAAGTGGACAGCCGTAGATTCTCGGCACCAAATGTATGCGGTCCAGAGGCGTCGAATGCTCGGAGCCAGTGCCTCTTCGAGATACATCTATATTGAAACAGTACTGATATGCTGCAGACCAATGGCTCCGGCCTTGATTGCTATACCCGCAAGGTAGAGTTCTTTGACCGAACCGTGACAAGTTTCTGGCAGCAGCTTCTTGTTGGTGTCGGGCCTAGAAGGCCACTGAGGTGAATGACACTTTTTATTATTCTAATTCTTTGTTTGACGTTCCTACTTTTTGCTTTCTCCGGTAGCTCGGTGATCTCCATGTATCTCATCGAGTGGTCCAGCGCAGTCTCCGGGGATAGGACAGGCGATGGCAGGGGTGGATCGGAAGAACCATGAATAAGTCTGTGTTTTAGGTCAGTCATTGGTGCTGTGAGTTACTAGGACATGATACATGCTCAAAGTACGACACCAAAAGGCTGTGCTGCTATTTTTGGCCAAAATGACCAGGGTCAGAAATGCGGCGCAGCAGCATAAAAACCCCTCACCATCGTCCCACATTCTCTCTTGCATACTCTGAATCAACAACAGAAGCGTGCAATATGTCAGCCGTTTGGGATCCCGATACTATTCTCCAAATCACCGACCCCTCAGGCCGAGGCATGTTATGCGTTGGTCTGGCACGCCCACACTCTCCCAGTGGACTCCGCGGTCGATGTCGGTGTGATCTGCCGCCTGCTAGGTATAGGGCCATTCTTTCCATCTTAGATACTATGTCCAGGACACCGCCGCAGTATGTGACCAACAGGGAACTTCGGTCCATTGCTCGATTGGGATTGTGCAAGTGGCATATTCACCAGGAGGATAAGGTTGTGGCTAACTGGGAGGATATCCTTGGATGTGTCGAGGGTATCAGCGGGATGTACGACGAGCAACGGGAAGAGATCATTCAAGATTTGAAGGAACTGCAGAAAGAGGTCGACGAGTGTAGAAGGTTGCTCCTAGTCAAGGAGGATTGTAAGGATGCTCTTTCTGTGGTCCTTCGTCGGCATCTCAACAGAAATGCACGATTGAAGAAGGAATTAGTGGAGAGCCAAGCGACTTGTGCTCAGCTGCAGAAGGATTTAGCGAGATTCAAGGACCAGAAAGAGGAAAACTCTCGACTCTCTGCCGAGAACTCTCGCCTATCAACTTTACTCAAGAGAGCCGAGGAAGAACAAGAACGCTACAAGAACCAGGAAACCAACCTAACTACGGAGTGCGAGAAACTGCGTAAGCAGAACACAGAATTGCAGGCGGATGTTGAGTCTGCTAAGGACAAGTATAAAGATTTGCAAGGCAAGGAACAGTCAGCAACTAGGGAGCTGATGGCAACGACTGCTCAACTACATGAAGCTCAGTCTCTCAACCTGGACTTGGAAAGCGATAAGCAGACCTTGCAGTCAGAGATCGACATCCTAAATCAGGAGGTGGAGAAATTGAATGATAAGAATACCTCCCTCTCCTCCCAGCTTGCAAGTACTGCATCTTCTCTGGAGACAGTGACGGAGGAGCTGTGTGTCGCTCATAAAGAGAACATGGGGTTTCGTGATGAGCTCATAACTGCAACTAGAGAGATCATGGAGCTACGCAATAAGGTCACTCAGTTATCGACTCCAGCCTGGTACAAAGTGATACAATGGCTTAAACAACAATTCTCGAGTCTCAGGAATTTGCGGAACCCCGGCAAAGAAATGTCAGATGAAGAGGAGGGAATTGCGCTGGCCCCAACCGTCGCAGCCAGGGAAGCAGAACCGGCTTGACGGGGCAGAAAGATTATAGTACTTGATGCATATGAGCAGCATAGCGAGGTATTTCTTTGATGTGATTTGCGACCCGCTGAACTGATTATTGAGCCTGTTCTTCTGTTCGTCAGACTTTGTTCTAGTCAATCCAAGTTTACCAGAAAGTTCGGAGGCATTGCATTTGCCCAGTACAATTCGGTAGCTGGTTAGTGTTGTAGACAGGAAGGTAATCCTAGGTAGCAATCTGTTGCATCACGCATACCAGAAGCTCTTGAGAGTGGGATTGTGTTACACACTGTTCTTTCTTCAGTTGCAACGAACTCTGTGTCAGTTTGATAGTCCTGTACTGGTAATCAGGAGGTAAAACATCCAGAATTGGTAGGTACTTTGCATTTGTCCGTTTCCAGGTAAATATTGCAGTGCAATCAGGAGCAGCCTTTTGCACAGGGCTACGAAAATGTGGCTGGGCTAGATTACTCGCTAGGCAATTTCTAGTATATTAGAGTTGTTCGAGACACAAAATTCAGTAATGAACACGAGGGTATACCATGACTTTTCAGGATAGGTCGTATTCGCGAGATCCTCCCATAACGATGTCCGCATAACGTTATACTCCAACCTTAACCGGAAGCATAACGATGCCATTCCATCAATTGTCCAAAATATAAATACACACATGCAACGCCTTTGTGAACTCCAACTACAGACACAAGGAACAAAACCATTACCCAAATACATACAAAAATCATCATGTCTTCCGGATTCGCCAGCAACGGCCTTTATTGGCAGACAGAGGCACCCCTGCAAAAGGGCAATCCCACCATTCTTTTCATCCATGCTTCGTGGATGTCATCGACAATGTGGGAAGAGACAGTTCAGCTTCTGGCACCACAGCTGCCAAATGTCAATTTCCTCCGTATCGACTTGAATGGCCACGGGAAGACCACCGCCGGCCGCAAAGAATATACTCTCTGGAATCAAGCGGAGGATGTCCTCTCTCTCTTAGTATGAATTATTTATCCAACCCATACAGCCATAGCACAGCTAATACCCCGCAGAAAGAACTCGAACTCTCAAACGTACTGATCGCCGCAATTTCCATGGGCTCGATGATCGCCCTTCGCCTGGCTCTACTCGACCAGACCCGATTCGTCGGCCTCGTCCTGCTCGCCTCCAACGCCTCAGCCGCAACCGACGCTCAACGTAGCGCCTTCTACCAGCTTCGCGATATCTGGGTTGCGACACCTGCTCCCAGCGAGCAGATCATGAACGCCGCTATCCTCAGCTGGGGCGGGAATCCTGATGTCGAGGGCCCACGTGCGACTCGGATCAAGCAGGACTGGGTTCAGCGCCATTCCGGCGCTGAGAATGTGGATCCTACGTTGAACTCGATGATGGAAAGGGATGCGGTACTTGATCGACTTGGGGAAATTCGCGTGCCGGTTCTCCTGATTCAAGGCGAGGATGACAAGACGTATCCGCTACAGGATGCTGTGGAGATCAAGGAACGGCTTGTTAACACGGATGTGCGCTTGGAGGTTGTCAAGGGCGAGGGCCATCTCTTGGTTCACTTGAGGGAGGCTAAGGATGTGGCTGAATGGGTTCAGGCCTTCTCGCAGAAAGTCCTTGGGTCATTCTGAAGGATAGCATGTTCGTTTTGTTGTGCTTTGACACTCGATGTTTGAAAGGACTTGACAGTGCAGTTGCAATTCTAGTGATCATTCTCTAAGCTTAGCAGAATCTCTGACTAAGTGCTGTATTTATATCGACAGCATTCAACGTTTGAGCCTCAATTGTATAAGTAACGCCTCTGATCGGTTTCTTCGGCTTCGGGCAGACCAGCTCCGAACGAGATCATCCTCGATATAAATCTCCTTCGTGCAACAAAACCAACTTCATCTGATCGTTACCACGCAATTGTACCATTTACCGATAGACTTCACCAATTCAACACCCTATCACCACGCAAAAACTTCCCTACATCAGCATCTCGCTTCCCCTCGATTATACCTAAAATCATCTCCGCTGGGACCATCGGATCGCCCGCCCTTCCTCCCGCAGACACATCTTCCTCCTCCTTCCCTCTCAGATTCGACCTCACCAACCCCGGACACACAGCGAATACCCTAATCCCCTTAGGTCCAAAAAGCTTATGTTGCTGTACAACCAACATATCCAGCGCAGCCTTGCTCATCCGATAGGCCACGCCATCGTAATAGTGCACCGAAGACGAGGGATCAGCCGCCTCAGACAACGATCCCAGGATAGTCGAGATGAAAATCGAGTAAGGACGAGCGGATTTTATCAATAGAGGATTAAAGGCCTCGGCGACCAGCGCAGGCCCGATAGAGTTGACAGCGAAAGTCTCCTCCATTGCTGCTTTGGTTGATGGGGCCTGTGAGAAGACACCCGCATTGTTGATCAGGATGTCGAGACGGCCGAACTGCGATTCGATTTGCTTTGCGGCGGATGTAATTGAGGTAGGATCCGTGACGTCTAGTTGGATGCTAGAAAGAGAGCCTTTCGTGGTCTTCGAGGACTGAATTGCTTGGACTGCATTCTGGCCGTTTTGGAGAGATCGGCTGCCGATGATGACGTGGTAGTCTGGCGAGGCTGAGACGATGGTTTGGGCTGTTGCGAAGCCGATGCCCGAGTTTGCGCCTGCAATGGTTAGTCCCGGCTCGAAGGCAATTATGTTGATGGTTTTTACCTGTGATGAGCACGACAGTGGATGGCGTTTTGGACATTATTGTTGACAGCGATGGAGATCCTCAATAATGCGGGCAATGTGACGAAGGATAAGGAAAGGCCTTGTTATTCCTCCCTTGATGCATTATATAGGTCGTGAGCTAGGGATACGCGGAGATGGATATCCAGACGCCGTAAATACGCCTAAACTCCGTCTAAACCCCAGGACATGTGGAGTCTGATGCCTATATTGCATGGAGTCGAAATGAGATGTCACATGTAATAATAAGCATACAGCCTCTGGATGACTAGAGAAACGAGATTGATGTACCTTCGAATATTCCCTGGTTAGATGACCGTCTGATACTACGCCATCTACTGATTTGATGCTTATCGCGCAGGATGCAGCCGATAATATACAAATCTTTGACTCCATAAACTTCTCTAACAGATGACATAATTGCATGCTTTACCCTTTGTGCTCTTTTCAGAAGTTGTGACTTGTTCTTGGAAAGCAACCAGGCAGTTATATATATAGTGACCGGTGCAGAGATCTAAAGATAAGTTGCTGAATGCCACAGCCATACTAGGCTGAAGGCAGAAATCATCAACACGTACGGAAGAGTACACGAGGTATTCCTCTCCAAAATTTATACAATGCTAGCATTAGCAGGTATTTGAGGCCGCATAGCATTTAACAATTGAGATGCACCGAGACTACGTCAAGATGTATGATATAACATAAAGTTTGCCACCTATCACAAGCCGGCGTTAGTGGTGTAGCGGTTAGCATTATTGCCTTCCAAGCAATAGATCTGGGTTCGACTCCCAGCTAACGCATTTATCTTTTTCTTTTTGTCGCTTCTCTATTTCTTGCAATTTGATTTTGGATTGACACTGATGTTTCTCTAAGCTTCTTGAATATTATGGAAATGGGATCCACAGATAGAACAACCAAACGTCTATTGTGCGACCGGACATTTTGCGAAAGAGACCACTCTATCCGTCTATTGTTTGCACCGGAGCCTCCATAAGAAGAGTCCACATGGAAGAAATGCGCAAAATCACCTCTTGTCCTGAGTTATGATTGCCTTCCCACCCGCAGCTCTTCAAGACTCTTCTTCTGCCTACCACTTTCATCAAAGTTGCTCTCCCGCAGCCACTCCTCCATAGCCCCCTTAATACCCCCCTCCCACTCATCACGCAGCATCGAGAACCACGCCGTATCTCTATTCCTCCCTTTAATCACCATATGCTGCCGGAAGATCCCCTCGAAAGTAAACCCCAATCTCAGCGCAGCCCGTCTGGAAGGCGCATTCAGTGCATTACACTTCCACTCGATGCGGCGGAACCCCAAATCTTCGATCGCGTACTTGAGAAGAAGATAAAACGCCTCGGTAGCGACTGTCGTCCGCTGCAATGTCGGAGAAAACATTACATTCCCAATCTCAATGCTGAGGTGCTGAGGGACGATGTTCATTAACGAGAGGTAGCCCACCGCATGCCCCGCTGTGGGGTTCTGGTCTTCCTGGCGGAGGTCTATGACTGCGAAATAGAACGGGTCGGAAGACCGCGATTTGGCCGCGATGGATTCTTGGAAAGTTTTCAAATCGCTGAATGGCCCGTCGGCCATGTAGTCCCAGAGGACAGCTTTACTTTCATCGTCACCACCGATCAGAGGGAATAGCTGAGCGGCGTGGTCTGTGCGTAGTTTGGTCAGAGCAACCGTGCGGCCGGTGAGGGTATCCTCAGAGGGGAGTTTGGCCGGAGGCAATGCGACGACTGGACCCAGGGGACGATTAGACATGATTGTTGTGATGTTATGTTTTTCGATATAGTTTCTGGGCTGTCAATTTGGCAATTGACTTTTGATAGAATTTATGAGTCATACAGAAAGACTACTAACCCCAATTAGTGGATGGTGAAATGACAGTACAAGGATTATGTCGCAGGACGGTATTAGAGGTGCTTAGTTCTTCCATTTTCTCATGGAAAAGCAAGTATTAGAACTATTTAAGGGGATGTTCTGAAGGGGGCAGATCCGGTATAGAAAAATTATGGCTGCATCTCGCACTATTGCAACTGGATCATAGCCATACCAGTTGTACTGACTTGGCTAAATCAAGATGGACACTGCATTCCACTCTGGGCTCAACACGTCGTACTCGATGGTCTCCCAGTCATCCGTCGCCTGTCCGTAACGTTTGAATTCTTCTTGGCTGTCGGCGAGTGCAGTATAGAACTTTCCGGTCGCTAATGCGATGGCCTTGTCCTTGTCTGTCGTTTTGTTGTGATACACACGAAACTTTGACGCAGCGTAGATAATCAGGCTTTCTTTATTACCCGGCTTGAAGCTGAGTAGGTAGGGTACATGCGACGAAAGAAGCCATTCCCGAGGGTGATTCATGGGCAGCGCCTCGACAAGCTGTTTCTCGGTGTAGCCAAGTAGGGCCTGCAGAGAGGCTGGAGGCTCAGCGTACAGGCAGGGAGGTTTGTTAACCACAAATGACTGGTAGTAGTTTTGTAGATAATTGACAGCCGTATGCTGGGGGGATGCGATGTGAATACACATGGTCACACAGTCAACCAGCTCCTCGAACGTCCTGATGGTCGGGAAGGATGGCAAATCGGCACCATCGGGACTGCGCATCTCGTTAGACCAGGACTGAATGCATTGGTCATTCAGAACTTTGTCGTCAGCATCAGTTCCGGGGTAGGCTAGAGCAAGCATGTCTTGCACGTAGGTCCTGATCTTATGCCACATGCTGTGGATACATCTGGCGTAGGCGTAGTTGTGAAACTTGGGACTGTCGAGTTCCTCTGGAGGGAACCCGCGCTGGCGGAGATCTGTCGGTACGTAGCGACCCTTGAAGTCAAAGTTCTTGTACGCGTGCCGAATAAATGCAAAGGCTTCACTTGCCTGAAGCCCGATTAAGTCGACAATGATATGGGGAACCAGAGTGTTTCGGGCAGCCGCATTGAGTGCCAGGGTCTTTTGCCAGTGCGGATAGAGCAACAGCATCACCGGGTGCTCTGGATCGAGCTGACGATGAGAGGCAACGATAACGGCCTCTTCGATCATATGAGTGTTCGTAAGGTGCACAGTGACTTCATGCCGAAGCCAGTCGCTACACTGCACACATGTCTTGGCATATCTCCAAGGCCAGTCATGAGCCTCGTCGGTTACCTTCTGTTTTTGGTCCTGCTTTTCGCTTCCTGACCGGAGATCCTTCCGCTTGATCAATTCCCGGTTGTAGATGGTCACAGAGTTCTCAGCACTTCCCCGCCAGTCGATGACAATAGCCAGAGGGTAAAGCTGGCCTTTATCATTGAGGTAAAAGAGACACACCGATGCACAACCATAGCGGTAGCTTTTTCTACCTGCTTCGTCAAACTCACATTTGATGTCAGCAGTGGGCCCCAGCCCAGCAGCCTCGCGAAAGTAGCTGTAATCCTGCATGTACAGAGACTCCCGGCAGCTGTTACGGAGATCGGTGATGATCTCCTTAGCCGGAGCATCTTCTGGTGCTTCTGCGGCTGTGATAAAGTGCTCTAACCAACGATCTGAAGCCCGTTCGATTGTTGTAGGATTGGTGCCGGTAAAGTGCTGCTGGGCAAACCGGGCATCGCTGTACCAATCTGCCAAATCGCCCACGTTGGGAAGATCGAATATATCTTTACCGTAGGACCATCCGCGAGCCGTCCTGTTATAATTCTCCACATCTTCGAGCTTTTCTCCTTCGTCTGGTCTTCCCATAGAGCCAAACCTAACTCTTGCAGCCACGCTAGCACCCAATCTTATGAATCTATTTGGCACAACGCTAGGTAAGAGAGAGCTCAACTGTATAAGCCGCATATCGTTAAAGATTTCGGATGATTGCAATGTTGATCGATGGTCGCTTTTGTCCTTTTTTGCTGCTTCCACATTGCCGGCAAGGTTAAGATGGGGTGGATAATTGTCGGAGCCATCTGTGAATGCAAAGAACTTGCGTTTCTGGTCCTTGGTCAGGGGCGATGGAACCAAAGGTTCGAAATTGGCTACATCCATAAAGGAACTGAAGCTGTCGAGGATGTTAGCCATCACGGAGGAAGGGAAATGGTTCAATACAAGTACCGCTGTTCTATAAGATTATAGATCTTAGTGAGCGCGAGTTTAGTCCCCCGATATGTTCCTTCCTCAATCGGAGGGGGTTTTGCATAGGCTTTTGTTTGTGGAATCTCCGGGTTTTGCTCGAAAACTTTGACCTTCCCCGGCAAAAGTTTAATATTGGACAATTCATTGATCAAGACGCCGGTGTCAATGTCGTTGTAAGCTAGATCTTCGGGGTTCCTGGGCCATTTCTCCTGGGTGTCAGGATAGCCAAGCACGACGCCAGGAGTCAGTGGAATAGTGGTCTGAGGCATAACTGCGGAACGGAGTCGTATAGTCGCTAGACTCTCAGAAGTAATGATGGTTGAATAAAATGATGCGGTGCATGGACTTGAAAGAATTTAAATATTCCGAAGCTCCACAAAAGAAGAGTGTCGATGCCATTAGGCTGACTGCTGCCTCGCGATATCATGGTTTCGTGACATTGGTCGAGAATCAACATCAACGTTCATATAACATACTACCTACGTTTGCGGCCGTATCTTAGATGAACCGGTTCAAGGTTGAGGGAGGATCAAATGCACTTAGACCTTGCCAGAACTCCAAAAAGGATCGGGAGTTTGGAATCGTAACCGTAACGCGCAATCAAGGGATGCTAGCCGTAGTGGGCGGGGACGGGGTTACCCGGACGCCTTTTCCTTACTGTGTAAAGCTATGGTTACAGCGGCCAATCGGACTGTTGCATCGATGGACTGAAGAACGAGGTCGCTGGTATAGGTGACGTATAGCATAAGACCCAATTATTATTTGCAAGGTGTCATTCTTCGGTGAGTTTGGCTCTGGGGGGAATACGTTATCGTATAGCTTCATTCTGTTCATGATCGACTCTGACGAAGCCGTCTGCATAGGGTTTTTCTAAAGGGTAGCTCTATAATCCGCAACTTCTCCATTGACGCCTTGATTTGAGTCCAATGAATATGTGGCTACGGGGAAGAATTCTGACGTCTTGTCAGGTTTTATCCCGCCAAGCACCGCATTAAGATTCATGACGGACAAGCAGATAACCCATATGGAATGATACACTAATACGGCAAGCCAGTGGGAGAAAACCGAAGATGTAAATGGATTTTTATATCCACTATCCATTATCCGCAATCCAATCGTCATGGATATCAGGATGGGTTGGATAGGTGGGTTGGATATGGCTTTGATGCAACCCATGCGGATTATGGGTTGATCCACACCTCTCCGGAGTACAACCCTGGGTCATCCTCTGAACCATGTCCGCAGATATGAGTGATTTAGGAGGCTTTATCTTATTCTCATCTTTTCATTAGGCTAAGGCGACTACTGACATCTTAGTTAACCTAGATAAATATATCATCTAGGTTGCTCAGTTTAACCTTCGTAAGGGAAACCAAGGTGTCCTTATCTTATATGGGGCATTCACCAGCATCTCATGGTATCTAGTCCAGGACGATCTAATAAGAGTAATGTATAGATGAACCGGGACTAGCCCATGTTCACTAGCAGAACAGCTTATCCGTCTCTTACCTTGAACTCTCTTATCTACATAGTCCACCCCGTACCTAGCACATACGACCATAGGGTGTGGAAAACAGGGCTTCCCGTCCGCTCAGCCG